ATCCGCCTCGACAACCGGGCTGACATCAAGGAGTGCAAAGATCCCAGCATTTTCGGCAGGGGTAGGGGCGGTGGCAGCGGCCCCCCGGCACGCCGCGATCCCGGTGTCCCCCCCACCCCTCGCTGATGAGATCCCCTGCGTGTCCTGCAGGTGACAACTCCTTTCGGCTCTTCTTCGACGTGGTGGTGATCCTGGTCTGCTCCCTCTCCTTCATCCTCTGTGCTCGCTCCATCATCCGGGGCCTGCTGCTGCAGCACGTGAGTGCCGGGGTGCGGGGAGCAGCGCTAAGCGTGGCCCCCGTCCCCCCCTGTAAGCCCTGGGGGCGGCCAGAGCTGCCTCCAAGGTGTTTTCTCAACAAAAAAAGGGCATTTTTTCAAAAACAGGGCGTCTTAAAGACACCCTGCTTGCACGGGAATGCTCAGACAAAGCCCCAGCTCCCGCCTGGGTGCTGAGGAGGGGGTGAAATGGGGGGGCTGCGCCCTGAGGACCCGGTTTCTCCTCCCCACGCAGGAATTCAGCCGGTTCTTCCGGCGCCGCTACGGCCAGAGCGTGTGCCTGTCGGACCGCATGGAGTTCCTCAACGGCTGGTACATCCTGCTCGTCATCAGCGACGTGCTCACCGTGCTGGGCACCATCATGAAGATCGGCATCGAGTCCAAGGTAGGGGGGCACCGGGGGGGCAAAGGGACAGGCAGGGTCCTGTCCCGCCGCTGTCCCAGCTCGTGGCCGGCGCTGGGGACCCGTTTTAGGCTCAGTTTCACCTCTGTCCCTGCAGAACTTTGCCGGCTACGACGTCTGCAGCATCCTCCTGGGCACCTCCACGCTGCTGGTCTGGGTCGGGGTCATTCGCTACCTCACCTTCTTCCAGAAGTACAACGTGAGTGGCTGCGGGGAGACGGCCCGTGACCCGAGGGGGCGATTTTTGGGGCTGACCCTGAGCACTGAGGCACTCGGTGGGGCTGGGGCCATCCTGTGGCTGCTGCGTGTGGCCCCGGGCTCCTTGTCCTGCTCTGCTGGACACCTCGGTGTCACATCGGGTGCCTGAACTCCATCCCTCGCTGCCACTCTTGTGGGAATTGTCCCCGTTAGCCCACCTCGCGGGTCCCCTTCCCCTCCTGGCAGACTTCTGATGTTCTCCAGAGGATGGAATTTGATCCCCGTGGGTTTTCCCCCCCCCCAGATTCTCATCGTGACGCTGCGGGTGGCCCTCCCCAACGTCATCCGCTTCTGCTGCTGCGTGGCCGTCATCTACCTGGGCTACTGCTTCTGCGGCTGGATCGTGCTGGGACCCTACCACGTCAAGGTGCTGCTCCAGGCTGCCCCGAGGTGGGCTCGGGTGGGCTTCCCCCGCCCCCGGGGGCGATTCCCTGCCCTGATTTCCAGAGAGAAGGGCGTGGGGCTGGGTGAAACGAGGCACCCGATGGAGCAGCAGCGTTGGGGCGTTGAGCTGCGTGGCTGTGGGTTTATTTGGAGATCCCAGGCTGATAGCAGAAGGGATGGGGGGTGACGAGGTGGCTCGACGTGTCCGGCAGCTCCGTGTCCCTTCCCGCCCCAGTTCCGCTCCCTCTCCATGGTGTCCGAGTGCCTCTTCTCCCTCATCAACGGGGACGACATGTTCGTCACCTTCGCCGAGATGCAGCAGAACAGCTACCTGGTGTGGCTCTTCAGCCAGATCTACCTCTACACCTTCATCAGCCTCTTCATCTACATGGTCCTCAGCCTCTTCATCGCCCTCATCACCGGCTCCTACGAGACCATAAAGGTGAGGCTGAACCCCAGCGAAGCTTCCAGGCTTTTTCCCTTTTCCCGGGTGGCTGTGCCTGGGCAGGGAGCCAACACCCGAGGCCGGAGGGCTTCATCTCCCCTCTCCCACCCCTGCAGCACCAGTGCGAGGGCGAACCCCCCGTGTCCCAGCTCCACGCCTACATCGCCGAGTGCAAGGACAGCCCCAAGTCGGGCAAGTACCGCCGCGGCAGCGCCTCGTCCTGCTCCGTCTTCTGCTGCTGTGAACGGTGAGCACGGGGAGGGCTCTGCAGCCCCCCCCTCTTCGCCCCCAGCCCTCAGCCGTGCTGCGGGAGGAGGATTTAGAGCTCGGGTTCTGCTGGTTCCGTGCCCGGTGGCGCAAAGGTTGTGATTTCCAGCCTCTTTGGGTTGCTTCGAGCTGTGTCTCGGTGCCAACCTCTGGCTTTTGGTGCCCCAAAATGTCCTCGGGGGCCCCTCGGTGGGTTTATGGTCCGTGTTCCTTCCCCAGTGCCCATCGTTAACCTCGTGGCTGCGTTTGCCACTTGTTTCTGGGGTGTTGGGGCATCGCTTTTGCTGCAGCTGCCTCTATTTGAAGCTTTCTCCTCCCAATTAACCTGATTTTCCCCCCGTTCACCCGCAGGGCTCCTCTGCAGGACAACGCGATGCTGGTGAACTGAGGGCAGCTCCCAGGGACTCGCAGCACTTTGTGCTCCCAGCGGCCTCGAGCCCTTTTATTTATTTTACCGTCTGCTTTTACCGACTGGGGGCTCGGCAGCAGCCCCCAAAGGAGCAGGGATCGACGGCGCCCGTGTGCCCACGGACACCCCACAGGTGACAGGGAGACCAGACGGATGCTCGTCCCATTTTATTTTTGGCAGAGGCCGTGCCTCTGCGCTCCCAGTCTCCAACTGGAGGCCAGCAGCAACTCGGGGGCTCGCTTGCAGCCCCTCAGCTGTAATTTGGGGGCTCAGCCCCTGGGCTGTGTCGTGGACTTCTCCCTGCTCTCAGCACCAAGCCCAGCTGCCCCTTGGCCACGTTTGGGACAAATCCTTGGGATTTGTCCCAAAACCCCACAGCCCTTTGGCTGCCCTGGGGGCTTTGTTCTCATCCCGGCTTCCCTTTGGCTGCGTCAAGGACATTTCTGGGGGTTTGTCCCTAAGCCTCACGGTGAAGCATTTGTCCCTGCAGCCCCTTGGTGACACCGAGGACGTGTCCCTGCTCTTAGTCCTGAGCCCTGCAGCCCCTCAGCACCACCTGGCTCCTGTTAGGGGCTGTGTCCTGGATCCTAACACCCCTTGGGGACTTATCCCTGTCCTCACCTCCCCGTTAACCATTTTGGGGTCCCAGGAGCCCCCTTCCCAGCTCCGAGCAGAGGGCCAGGATCCGTGCCATGTCCCCGTGCCCCAGCTCCCGGCCTCCTCCTGTCCCTGGGGCTGGGATTTTGGCACCCGCCGCTTGTTTACGCGGTGCCGGCCGGGTCAAGGGCAGGTTTTGTAAGCGTCCAGCAGCTGCTCCCCGCTGGAGCGGGGCCAGGGGCCTGCCGGCTCCAGGCACGGCCCGAAAAAAGGCTGAATTCAACCCAAATCGTGGCCCGGTGGCGATGGCAGCACTGAAGGGGGTGAATAAAGCACCCGGGGACAGCGGCGCCTCTGTGCTCTGTGGGACCCTGCCCAGCACCCATGGGTGCCCTGGGGGGGGAGGGGGCTGCTGGGGCTGGGAGGGGGCAGGTGACAGATGGGGGGGGACAGCTGGGACCTGGGGGGGTGCTGGAACCCCAGGGCAGGGCTGGGGGCTGGGGCTGGGCGCCCCCACCCTGGGGAGCCCCCACCCTGGGGTGCTGCTGGGGACGGGGCGCCACTCCCAAGATGGCGCCGGGGCCCGACCGCCCCGCGATAGCATCGCGCCCCTCCTGCCACACCCAAGATGGCGCCCCGCGATAACATCGTCCCTCTCGTGCCACACCCAAGATGGCGCCCGCGCTCCCCACCAATGAGCTCCCCGCTGTCTCCCCGCGGACCTTCCCAAGATGGCGCCGCCGCCGGGACGCTCCCCGCCCCCCTCGTGACGTCAGGCGGGGCGGGCGGGCGGCCTTAAAGGAGCCATGACCCCGCGGGGGCCGCCGCCGAGGCCGGAGCGGGGCGGGAGGCGGCGACCGGCGGGCGGTGAGCGCGGAGCCCCCCCGGGGGGGGCGGTAACGGGGGCGGGGGGGGATGGAGGGGGCTCCCCCGGCACGGCTGGGGGGGGATTTATCGCTGGGGAGGGGGAGGGGAGGAGGTGGTGCCGGCCGGGGGGGGGTTGGGAGGAGGCAATACCCCCCCGGGGGGGGGGGCAATAACCCGGGGGGGGCAATATTAGCCTGGGGAGGGGGCAATAATGCGTGGGGGGGGGCGAGGTAATGTTGGCTCCCTGGGGGGGGGAAAATATGGGGGGGGGGGGGGGCAACGGTATCTATATGGGGGCTGGGGGAGGGGGTGTTGTTAGCTGGGGGGGGTGATTTTCACCTTGGGGGGGTGTTAAAGGGTGTGAGGGGGGGTAAAATCAGCCCGGGGGGGGTGGGGGGCAATGCTGGCCTGGGGGGGGCAATGCTGGGAGCGTTTTGTCTTCAGTGGGGGGGGCAGAACCAGCCGGGAGGGGCAACACTGGCCTTGGGGGGGGGGCAGAAGCCATGGGGGGGGCAGTTGTTACCCCCGGGGGGGGCCCTGGCCCCCGCTGTCCCCACCCGTGGCGGCGGTGGCAGGGGGTGACCGGTGCCAGCCCCCGGTGACGTCCCAGCGCTGGTGGCTGCCGAGGCCACCGCCACCTCCCCGGGCGTCCTTGGGAAGGACGGGGGACACCGGGGGGGGGGAGAACGCCGGGGGGGGGGGGCACCGTCCCCTTGGGGTGGCACCCGGGCCCACAGGTGACAGCGGGGACCAGCGGTGGCCTCGGCATGGCGTCGGGGGCTGTCGCAACGCCCCACGCTTCCTGCCACCGCTTCCTCTCCATGGGGGGAGAGGGGACATCCAAAGTCCCCAAAGGGACGACAAAGACCCCAAAAGGGAAGCCAGAGACCCCAAAGGGACACCAAAGACCCCAAAGGGACACAGAAGTCCTCACCCAGCCCCTCCGTGCCACCCAGCACCACTGGGGACACCCTGGGGACCCCCCAGCCCCTCCCCGTGCGTTTAATCAGGGCCGAATCGCCCCATTTGGGGACGTCGCCCCCGCTTACCCATCCCCAAATTATTTTGTCCCCGTTTTCCCCCCTTTTTCGGCAGCTCCCTGCATGGGCAGAGCCCCGCGGCAGCCATGGGGCAGGGCGAGTCGGAGCCGCAGGAGGAGGCGGAGGTAGGGAATGCCACCGCCGCTGGATGGGGTGGCAGTGTCTGTGTCCCCCCATCCCTGTCCCCCACCCTCCGGGGTGTCCCCCCCATGGGGCTCAGCCTCCTGTCCCCGCAGGACGCGTCCCTGACGGCCGTGCTGCCCAGGCTGTTCGCCGACGAGCCGCTCTCCACCGGGGCGGTGAGTGCCACCAACTCGTCCCCACGCCCTTGGGGACAACGTCCCGGTCCCCAAATCCTGTCCCCCAGCGCCCCCCCATCCCCAACGTCCCCGTCCCTGTGCCCCAAGGGGCGGCGTTCCCCATTAAGGGAAATGAAGGTGACAAACCTGTCCCCGTGCCCCAGGGGACACCGAGCGGTTCCCGCTCCCTCGGGGGTGGTGTCCTGGGCCCTGGTGCTGCTGAGCACCCCCGGGGGGGCACAAACTTGTCCTCACGCCTTTAGGGACGCTGTCCTGGCCCCCGGTGCTGCTCAGCCCCTTGGAGGACAAATTCTTGTCCCCACACCCCCTGGGGCCCCACCCTGGTCCCCACCACCACCGAGCACCTCTCCCCACCCCATGCGTGTCACCGGGGTGGCAGTGCCATCGGTCACCCCACGCCCTCGTCCCCGTGCAATGGGGAGGGGTCTGGGGGTCTCACGGGGACCCCGTGTCCCCCCCGCAGGTACTGGGGGTGCTGCTCGGCCTCAGCCTCTTCGCCATCCTCGTGGCCGCTGCCATCGTGGTGCTGGTCCGGCGGCTGCGCCTCAAGAGTGAGTGACACCGGGTGACAACACCGCGGTGGCCCTGGGGCCCCCGTGCCTCAGTTTCCTCCACGAAGCGCAGAGGGGAGGTGACAGCGGCGGGGTGACAGGGCCGTGCCCCCCTTAACCTGTCCCCTTCCTGCTGCCCAGAGGTCCCGGCGCAGGGGACACCCAAATACCGCTTCCGAAAGAGGGACAAGGTGCTGTTCTACGGGCGCAAGATCATGCGCAAGGTGACGCTCGGGGGGTGGCAGCGGCGGGGGGTAGCATCTCCCCGGTGTCACCGGCGGGGGTGACGTCCCCTCTGGGTCCCCGCCAGGTCTCCCAGTCCACCTCCTCCCTGGTGGACACCACCATCTCCAGCACCTCGCGGCCCCGCATGAAGAAGAAGCTCAAAATGCTCAACATCGCCAAAAAGTGAGGTGCCACCCGTGGCGGGCGGGCGGGCGGGTGGCAGAGCCCGGTGTCACCTCGCTGTCCCCTCGCTGTCCCCGCAGGTTCCTGCGCATCCAGAAGGAGCTGCCCACGCTGCAGCTGAAGGAGCCCCCCCCCTCGGTGCTGGAAGCCGACCTGACCGAATTTGACGTGGCCAATTCCCACCTCCCCTCCGAGGTGCTCTACATGCTCAAAAACGTCCGGTGAGGCTCGGGGTTCGGGATCCGACCCCACCCCAAATCCTTTTTATGGCCCGGGGGCGTTCGCAGGATGCTCTCAGCACCAGGGGATGTGGAGAGGAGCTGCTGGGGGGCCGGGGGGGCCGTTTGATGTGGTGCCCGTCGGGTTGGGCTCGGTGTCACCTGCTGGTCCCCGTCCTCGCAGAGTGCTGGGACACTTTGAGAAGCCGCTGTTCCTGGAGCTCTGCAAGCACATGGTGTTCCAGCAGTGTCAGCAAGGGGATTACGTCTTCCGACCCGGTCAGCCCGACACCAGCATCTACGTGCTGCAGGATGGCAAGCTGGAGCTGCTCCTCACCGAGCCGGTGCGGGGACGGGGCTGGGGACAGGTTGGGGACGCTGCGGGGACAGGGCTGTAATGAGCAGGGGGGGTTTGTGCTGTGTAGGACGGAAAGGAGACGGTGATGAAGGAGGTGTTCCCTGGAGACAGCGTGCACAGCCTGCTCAGCATCCTCGATGTCATCACGGTACCGGCCCCAAAGCTGGCCCCAGACCTTGCCCCTCTAATCAGGGCTGTCCCCAGGTCCCCTCACCTTGATGGTGGCTGTCCCCAACCTCGCCAAGCCCAACCGTGGCTGTCCCCAAACCTCTCCTGGACCAAGTGTGGCCATCCCCCAACCCCACCACCCCCACCATGGCTGCAGCTGTCCCTCCATGCCCTTCCCCCAGCCAGGGAGGGGGGTGTCTCGCCATCCTGGCGGTGACACTGCCACCACTGGCTGTCCCCTAGGGCCACCAGCGGCCGTACCGGACGGTGTGCGCGCGGGCAGCAGAGGACTCCACGGTGCTGCGGCTGCCGGTCGAAGCCTTCTCAGCCGTCTTCGAGAAATACCCCGAAAGCTTGGTGCGGGTGGTGCAGGTGAGCCTGTCCCCGGGGAGGGGACACGTGGGGGGGGTGTCCCCAGGGGTGGGCGAGGGGCGCTGACGCCTTCTGGTCCCCGCAGATCATCATGGTGCGCTTGCAGCGCGTCACCTTCCTGGCGCTGCACAATTACTTGGGCCTGACCAACGAGCTTTTCAGCCACGTGAGTGTGGGGGGCGGGAGCCTCCTGGAAAATGTTTTATTTTTCTCTGGATCCCCCCCAAAAAAGGGGGACGCTCCCTCGTCCTCGCGCTGCTGACACGTCCCCCTTGCAGGAGATGCAGCCGCTGCGCCTCTTCCCGCAGCCCGGCCACGCCACCCGCACCAGCCCCGTGCGCCACAGCAAGCGGGGGCTCAGCGCCGCCGAAGAGGGCAGGGAAAGGCAAACGGAGCTGGGTAGGGGCCCGGATGGGGCGAACAGACCCCCCCCTAACCCCCCCGGCCCCCCCAAGCCGCAGCAGGAGGCCGCTCACGGCCGTCTCGTCCCGCAGTCGAGCCGCTGAAAGCCGGAGCCCTGGATGCCCCCGCGCCCCCGCTGCTGAGCCGCTGCATCTCCATGCCTGTGGATATCTCTGGTGGGTCGGGGGCTGGAGGAAAAATGGGGGGGGCCCTTGGGGTTGTGAGTCACCTCCTTGGGGTCGTGAGTCCCACTCTGGGCTCCCGCAACCACCCCAGGGGTCGTGCAATCCCACCCTAGGGGTCGTGCACACCCTCCAAGGGTCACACAACCCCCCCACGGATCATGCAGCCCCCCCTGAGGATTATGCACCTCCCACACGGGTCCTGAAGCCCCCCCATGGGTCCTATGTCCCCCTCTGGGCTCATGCAGACCCCCCAGTGTTGTTGCAGCCCCCCTGGCCGTGTATCATCCCCCCCTTCCCAGCCTCAGGCACGCCCCGCTCCGGCCTCACAATCACCCCCAGTGCTCCCAGCTCGGTGTCCTGGTGCCTCCCCCCCCAAGTGACCACCCTGTCCCCCCCCCTGTCGGGGCGCAGGCATCCAGAAGGGTCCCCGCTCCGACTTCGACATGGCCTACGAGCGCGGCCGCATCTCGGTGTCAGCTGCAGGAGGACAGCACCGGCGCCATGGCCGCCTTCTCCCGGGTAAGGCCGCGTGTCCCCCCCCACCCCAAAATCCGCTTCACCCTCGACAGAGCGGTGCCGGACCCGTCCCTCGCCCCCCTCAGTCCGTCTCACACGAGCCCAAGGAGCGCAAGTCGGTGACGGTGGAGGAGCAGCCGTCGGGCGTTTACCGCTACCAGCACTGCGAGGACGACGCGGGCGGCGGGGACTGGCCCTTCGGGCCCTACCAGGGCCGCCAGCCCAGCGCCATCTTCGAGGCCGCCAAGCGGGAGCTGGTCAAGCTGATGAAGGTGGAGGTGAGAGCGCAGAGAGAGATCTTGGCCTCCTGGTGGTTCCCCATCGCCTCATGGTGCTCCCCGTCAGCGGGTTTTGGGGCTGCGTGGCTTCGTGGTGGGCTCCCATCACCTCACGGTGGGTCCCCATCAACTCATGGGGCTCCCCGATGCCTCCTGGTGGGTCCCCATCACCTCGTGGCGGGCCCCTGCAGTCTCATGGTGGTCCCAGTCACTTTGTGGTAGTTTTCCTTTGGCTTTCTGGCTGTCCCTATCACCTCAGGTGAAATCCTTCTTCCACCCAGGACCCTTCTCTGCTCAACAACCGCGTTCTGCTCCATCATGCCAAAGCCGGGACGGTCATTGCCCGTCAAGGGGACCAGGTAGGTCTGGGTTTTGTGGGGCTGACGTGACACCTTGCTCTCCCTACTGCGTATTTGCATGGGGTGCCTGCCCTATGGGTTTGGGGGGGGGGCAGGAACCATCCCCCAGACCTGCCAAGGGTGCAAAACCCCGTAGTGAAGAGGAGCAGAAGAAACCCCAAGCGTTGCCGGTGGGGTCCCCTTGGTCCCTGGGGGGTGATGGAGGCAGGGTCCCGGTGACGGGGCAGCGTTTCGGCAGGACGTGAGCCTCCACTTCGTGCTGTGGGGCTGCCTGCACGTGTACCAGAGGATGATCGACAAGGCGGAGGACGTCTGCCTCTTCCTGACGCAGCCCGGCGAGATGGTGGGGCAGCTGGCCGTGCTCACCGGCGAGCCCCTCATCTTCACCATCAAGGCCAACCGCGACTGCACCTTCCTCAAGATCTCCAAATCGGACTTCTACGAGTGAGTCCCGAGCACCAACGAAGGCGTTTTGGTGCTGGAGGGGGGGTTCTGAGTCGAGCACAGCTCAGCATCTGCGGTGGCGGCATCTCTTGGGGCTGCCACCGTGTCCCCCAGCTGCTGTCGGTCCGTAGGATCATGCGGGAGCAGCCCAGCGTGGTGCTGAGCGTGGCCCACACCGTGGCCGCCCGCATGTCGCCCTTCGTGCGCCAGATGGACTTCGCCATCGACTGGATGGCGGTGGAGGCCGGCCGGGCGCTCTACAGGTGGGTGCCCCCCACCTCGGCTCGGCGGGGACCCCCTTGGCACGGGGGTGACGTCCCTTTGGTGGCGTCCCCAGGCAGGGCGACAAGTCGGACTGCACCTACATCGCGCTCAACGGGCGCCTCCGCTCCGTCATCCAGAAGGGCAGCGGCAAGAAGGAGCTGATCGGGGAGTACGGCCGCGGGGACCTCATCGGCGTGGTGAGACCCGTGCTGGCGCCGGGACGCGCGGTGCCTCGTGGCCCCCCCTCTCAGCTACACGTCGTCTTCTCCAGGTGGAAGCCCTCACCCGGCAGCCCCGTGCCACCACGGTCCACGCGGTCCGGGACACGGAGCTGGCTAAGCTGCCCGAGGGCACCTTGAACAACATCAAGCGTCGGTACCCCCAGGTATCCCCAAAATCCTGCCCTGCCGGGGGAGCAAAGTGGGTTGTGCTGGGGGGTTCCAACTCAGGGAGCCCCGCCAGCTCTGATGGTTGTCCCCTTCCTTGTCCCACAGGTTGTCACCCGTCTCATCCACCTCCTGAGCCAGAAGATCTTGGGAAACCTCCAGCAGCTCCGCGGCCCCTTTGCAGGTGGGTCCCGAAGGGATGAAGGACAGCGGGGACGAGGTGACAAGGGGTGCACCTTTCTGGAGCCGGTGGCTGTCATCGGAGCAGAGTCCAGAAAGTGTCCCCTGCCCTGCCACGCTGTCCTCCTGCTGCCACCGCATCTCCTCGTCATGCAGGCTCTGGTTTGGGCATGGCCTCCAGCTCGGAGCCCACCAACCCTACCAGCAACCTGTCAACGGTGGCGGTGCTGCCGGTGTGCGACGACGTGCCCACGGCCGCCTTCACGCTGGAGCTCAAGCACGCGCTTAACGCCATCGGTGAGTGCTGGCAGGGCAGCAGCAATCGTGGCACGGTGGTGGCCATGGCATGGAGGTGACCATGGTGTGCTGGTGGCCCCAGGCCACGATATGACATTGACGGCAGCCCCATGGCGTGGCAGTGACCATGGCACGGTGGTGACCACAGCCCCGTGGCATGCCAATGGCCATGGGAGGGTGCTGGAAGCCCGTGGTGTGGTGGTGACCGTGGCTTGGTGGTGATTGGGACCCCACGGCACGGTGTTGACCATGCTGGTGACTGCGTCTTGGTGACGACCGTGGCCACACGACATCGCAGTGACCACGGTCCTTCCTCTCCCAGGTCCCACGCTGCTCCTCACCAGCGACATCATCCGCGCTCGGCTCGGCTCCTCGGCACTTGACAGGTAACTCCCGGCAGGAGGGACACCGCCGGTGACCCAACGCCGGGCCGCGTCTGACCCCTCCATCCCGGCAGCATCCAGGAGTACCGCCTGTCGGGCTGGCTGGCGCAGCAGGAAGACATCCACCGCATCGTGCTCTACCAAACCGACTGCACCCTGACGCCGTGGACCGTGCGCTGCATCCGCCAGGCCGACTGCATCCTCATCGTAGGCTTGGGCGACCAGGAGCCGGCGCTGGGAGAGGTGAGGGGCGGGTGGCGGGGGGTGCCCGGCAGGGACAACGCAGCGCCGTGCCGCTGATGTCCTCTGCAGCTGGAGCAGATGCTGGAGAACACGGCGGTGCGCGCGCTGAAGCAGCTCATCCTCCTGCACCGCGAGGACGGCCCCAGCCCGTCCCGCACCGTCGAGTGGCTCAACATGCGGAGCTGGTGCTCGGGCCACCTGCACATCAAGTGTCCCCGGCGCGTCTTCTCCCGTCGCAGCCCCGCCAAGCTGGTAAGGAGCCACCGCCGTGCGCCCCCCCCCCAGCCCCAGGTGTCCCCTGCGCTCTGCTGCCATCGTCACCCCTTGTTCCCTGTCCCCAGCGGGAGATGTACGAGAAGGTGTTTGAGAAGAGCGCCGATCGGCACAGCGACTTCTCCCGCCTGGCGCGGGTGCTCACCGGTAACACCATTGCCCTTGTCCTGGGGGGCGGCGGAGCCAGGTGGGTGCTGCGCTGGGGCAGGGAGGGGGGTCCCGCTCCGGAGACCGCTCCCGTTCCCCCTCCTTATTGTTCCCCACCTCCTCTCCTCCGTCTGCTTCCCCTCGGCCAGGGGCTGCTCCCACATCGGGGTGATCAAGTCGATGGAGGAGGCGGGGATCCCCATCGACATGGTTGGAGGCACCTCCATCGGCTCCTTCATCGGGGCGCTGTACGCCGAGGAGCGCAGCGCCGTGCGCACCAAGCAGCGGGCGCGCGAGTGGGCCAAGGTGGGAGCCTGGCGAAGCGGGGTGGGGGCACGCACCCAGCCCTCACCATCGCCCTTTTGGGTGGACAGCAGCGCAGCGCCCTGCCTGCCTGCGGCCAGCCATGGCCAGGGTGTTTCTAAAGCACCTTCCTGTCCTCTTCCTGTTCCTCTTCCTTTTCTTCTTCCTCTTTTTCGCCCTCCTTATATTTTCTCCTTTCTTTTATTTTCTCCTTTCTTTTATTTCTCCTTCTCTCCTCCTCCTTCTCCTCTTTTTTCCTTCTCCTTTCCTTTTTTCTCCTTCTTTCTTTTCCTCCTCTTCCTCCTCCTCCTCCTTCCTCCCCTACCTCCGCCTCCAGTGCATGAATTCGGTGTTCGAGACCGTCCTGGATCTCACCTACCCCATCACCTCCATGTTTTCGGGCTCAGCCTTCAACGCCAGCATCAACAAGGTTTTCCAGGACAAGCAGATCGAGGTGCGCCCCGCGGCCCTTCCCAGGGCTGCACCCACCCACAGGGGGTCCCAGCTGGGTCCCCGCCCCACCGCCACCGTCCCCACGATGTCACCCACCTCGTCTTATCCCCACAGGACCTTTGGCTTCCCTACTTCAACGTCACCACTGACATCACGGCCTCGGCCATGCGGGTGCACACGGACGGTAAGAGCTCCCCAGGGAACTGGGGATGCTCTCTGGCACCACCGCGACTCCCCGTGTGGGCACCCTCCTTACCAGCACCCCAAAAACGGTGCCACTGTCACCCTGGCAAGCAAAGGGCTCGGAGCCCGGGCAGTGGTGGTGTCCCAAGGCCACACAATGCTCAGCTCCCCTGAGCTATGCCCCACGTCCTTGATGGGGTTGGCAGCAGAATTGGGGTGTGGAGCTGCCCCCCCTGAGTGTGCACGTCCCCTCTAACGTATCTGCTCACCACTAACCCCAGTAACCCTCACTCACAGCATGGGGGTGTGGGGCTGTCCCGCTGGGGACAACGAGGTGGTGGTGGTGGTTGGGACAATGTGACGATGGTGGGGACAACGCAATGGTGGTGGGACAACGCGATGTTCTGGGGATGTGGTGGTGGTGGGGACAAGGTGATGGTGAGGACAACCTGCTGGTGGGGTCATCGTGGTGGTGGTGATGGGGACGATGCAGTGGTGGTGATGGGGACCACGCGGTGGCGGTGGTGGGGATAACGTGGTGGCTGCCCCTCATCCTTGCCTGGTGCTGGAGCTCACCTGGGACATTGAGCCGTCCATGGGGCGCACGCGGTGGTTTGTAGACAGCCTGGCTCTTGCTCCACCTGCTCCTCTGGCCTCTAACGCCAACTAATTCCCACTCACCACCCCTAACCCTCTGTCCTTCCCCATCCCAGTGTGGCCGAGGCGTTTTCCCCAGCGTGGCTCGCTCTTGGGACTAAAAACACCCCACCGGTGCCAGCAGCCTCGGTCACCTGCTGCCGGGGGCTCGTGCTTGTCCCGTGCCCCCAGGACCATGACCGTGTCCTCTCCCTCCGGCAGGCAGCGTTTGGCGCTACGTCCGAGCCAGTGCATCCTATACCCCCTACCTGCCTCCGCTCTGCGACCCCAAGGACAGCCACTGGCTCGTGGACGGCTGCTATGTTAACAATGTCCCAGGTCAGCATCTCCTCTCACTGGGGCTACCGGCCCCCCAAAAACACCCCCTTTCCCCACCCAAAAATAAAAATAAAAAACCAACACACCAAACAACCCCACATCCCATCCCAGGTGGAGCCATTCTAGGCTTTGTAAACGGCCAGTCAGGGTGCGTGCCGCCCCGGTGGGTGCCTCTGCCACCCATGGGTGCCCACCGGACCCCCATGGGGTGCAGACGTCCCCGGGCAAGGGCAGGGGCGAGGGGCAGCCCCCTGGGGGGCTCAGGCAGGCGTGGGGCGGGCCGTGCTCACTGCGTTTGTTCCCCGCCGGCGCAGGCTCGCTCTGGCGGTACGTGCGAGCCAGCATGACCCTTTCTGGGTACCTACCGCCACTCTGCGACCCCAAGGACGGCAACTTGCTGATGGACGGTGGTTACATCAACAACCTGCCAGGCAAGTAGCGCCCCACCAGCATCACCGCCACCGCCCGCCACAGCCGACGCGGCTCCAGGTCCGGTCCCGGTGGCGGGCGGTTGGGTGGGAGCCGTGTGCCCACCAAGGGATGGGTCTTCAGGGGTCTTCGATCCACCGTTGAGGCTGGATCTGGGCCGTCTCGCATGGTTTTGCGTTGATTCTTGGTGTCTTTGGCATTGGGTGTCCTCTTGGCATCTTCATCCCAGTTCCCGTGCAAAAGCCATCCATCTGTCTTGTGTCGTCTCTTGGTGTCCTCAGCACCAGGTGGCTTCCAAGGGCATCTTCGTGTTTCTTCAGATCCCAGACGTGTCCCTTCGTCTTGCATCATTCTTGGTGTTGAGTGCCCTCTTGGGGCATCTTCATCCTCCTTCACATACAAAAATTCGCACGGTGTTGTCAGCTCTGGGTGTCCTCAGCACCAAGATGATCCCAGATCATCTTCACTCTTCATGCACAAAAAATGTCCCTCTGTCTTGCATCACCTCTGGGTGTCCTCAGCACCGCGTGCCTTCCCAGGGCATCTCCATCCTTCTTCACAAGCCGTCTCCCTTCATGGTGTGTCATCTCTTGGCATCCGTGGCACGTGGTGCCCTCCCGGAGCATCTGCATGCTCCTTCACATGCCAACCACCTCCATCCATCTCTCATCAGCCTCTCATCCTCGTGTTCTCAGCACCAGATGCCCTCCCTGGGCATCTCTGTCCTTCCCATGCAGGACACTCGATCTGTCTGTCACCATCTCTTGGTGTCTTTGGCACCAGGTGCCCTCCCAGGACATCACCAAGCCACCTCCCTCCATCCTACACCTTTTGGTGTCTTTGGTACTGGCTGCCCTCCTGGGACATCTTTGTGCTCCTTCGTGCACAAACCAACTTCAGCCACCCCGAGTCATTGTTTCTGGATGTTTTTTGCCCTCCTGGAGCATCTCCATCCTCCCTGACATGCAAGTCACCTTCCTCCCTGTTGTAACATCATTTCTTGATGTCCGCAGTACCAGGTGTCCTCCTGGGACATCTCCATCTCCCTCCATATTCCAGCTGTCTCCATCTGCCCTGCATCGTATCCTGGTGTCCTTGGCACCGGGTGCCCTCCTGGGGGTCCCTCCACGCTTCTCATCCCTCCGTGGACGCCGCACCTTGCCTGCAGCCTCCTGGCACCTTTACACACGCAGCAGGTCGCAACGCTGCTCTGCTCCCCACTGGCACCTCATGCCACGGGGCTCCTACCCCCAAATCCAGCACCCACGGGACATTCCTCATCCCCCCCACGAGCCCTCAGCATGGCTTTGCCATCCAGCCCGTGGTCGGGACCGATCCCTCGCCCTGCTCCGCTTGTGCCACCGCCTCTCGTGGTGGGCTCGGACCGGGGAAAACCAGGGTGCTGCCGACCCAGCTTCGTCTTTTCCCACCCTGCAGCCGACATCGCCCGCAACATGGGTGCCAAGACGGTGATCGCCATCGACGTGGGCAGCCAGGACGAGACGGATCTGTGCAACTACGGGGACAGCCTGTCGGGCTGGTGGCTGCTCTGGAAACGCCTCAACCCCTGGGCTGAGAAAGTCAAGGTGAGGAGCAGCGTGAGGGATGTGGGGACAGCAGTGGGGACGGTGCTGAGCTCCCCGTCCTCGCAGGTGCCTGACATGGCCGAGATCCAGTCGCGGTTGGCCTACGTGTCGTGCGTGCGGCAGCTGGAGGTGGTGAAGTCCAGCTCGTACTGTGAGTACATCCGCCCCCCCATTGACCGCTTCAAGACCATGGATTTCGGCAAGTTCGACGAGATCTACGTGAGTCGGGGATGGAGAGCCTGAGGGGGTGGCCCGGACTATCAACAGGGTGCCTCAAAGTCGTCGGTTGGGGTTCTTCAGCCATCCTCTGGGGTGTTCTGGGTGTTGATTGGGGTGCCCCAGCCACTAGTGGGGTGCTTCTGGCATTGGTTGGGGTACCTCGAGCATCTGCTGAGCATCCAGGCCATTAGCAGTGCGTCCTGGTCATCAGGTAGGGTCAACCAGCAATAAACTGGGTGACACAGCCACCATTTAGGGGTGCTTTGGCCCACCAGTTGGGGTGTCCTGGTCATTGATTGGGTCTCCTAGTCATTAACAGCATCCTGGCCATCATTTGAGGTACCAGGGTCATCATTCAGGGTCCCCAGGTCATTGTTTAGGGTTTCTTGGCTACCATTTGGGATGCTCTGACCGTTGGTTTGGCACCCCAGCCATCAATTGGGCGTCCCATGCCATCGGTTGGGATGTCCTAGCCATCAGCTGGGATCCTGGGCCATCCTTTGGGGCGCCCCATGCCATCATTTGGGGTGCCAAGGCCACGAACGGGCTGCGGTCGCTCTCCCCGCAGGACGTGGGGTACCAGCACGGCAAGGTGGTCTTCGACGGTTGGAGCCGGGGCGACATCATCGAGAAGATGGTGAAGGACCGGCGCTCGGCCGACTTCTACGAGAGCAAACGCATGGACGTGAGCAGGGGTGGCCGCGGGGTCCGCAGGTGGCAGGGGCTGCACGGGACCTGCCCCAGGACACGTCCCATGTCCCCCCCAGTGCCCTTCCACCGCCTTACCCATCCCACGTCCCCCATCCTCGTCCCTCTCGTGGTTGGGGGCGCATCTCGGACACCTTCCCCCCCCCGCCCCGTAGGTGCTCACGTGCCCCAGCGCCGGCTTCACGGACCTGGCAGAGATCATCTCGCGCATCGAGCCCGCCAAGCCCTACCCCTCGGACGGCTACGCGGACGGTGAGGGGACAGGCTGCAGGGCTGGGGGCCCGATCCGGGCTCGGGGCCTGACCCTGAGCCCCCTCCCCTCTTTTTCCCTCCCCAGAGGAGTCCGACTACCTCACCGAGTACGAGGACGAGGGGCCGGAGCTGACGCGGGGCGAGGAGGAAGCCTTTGCCCCGACCGAGTGGCCCGGAGCTGGCGCTTTGGAGGCTGTGAGTGCTCCCCCACCACAGGGACCCTCCAAAATGAGGCCCCTCAGAGCCTGGGGGCTCCCAGGGGTGCCCCAACCCCCTGCATGAAGGGAGTAACATGGGGCAGACCCTGGCCCCAGTTCTGGAGCACCCCCAGAAGGGGGTGTCCTGCGGTCTGGAGGCCCCCAAAGGTGTGCGTGGAGGGGGTTACAGGGGGCAGAGCTCCCCAGCTGGGAGCTGATGGGTGCTGCGCCATGTCCCCATCCCGGTGTCCCCACCCGGTGTCCCACCCGTGTCCCCCACCTGTCCCCTCTCTCCCCAGGAGGATGAGAAGAGCCTGCGGCACCGCCCGAGCCCAGCCCGAGCCTCCTCCACGTCCCACACGTGAGCCCAGATGGCACTGAAGGAGCCCAGGAGCCCCCCCGGGTGATGCCCTGGCACCGCCTCCGTGCCCCAGGGTCCCCCCGATCCCCTCTTCCATGGCCGCTTCCCTGGCCAGGGCTCAGCCCCGTGGCACTTTCCCACTCGCCCCAGGCTTGTCCCCGCTACTGTCCCCAAGCTGGGGTGACAACGGGGGCTCCAGGGACCCCTCCCCTCCTTTTCCCCCCATCCTGCACTGTTGCACTGGCCCAAATCCCCCCTCCGTGGCCTGGCCCTGCCCTGCTTTGCCGCAGGACCGACCTTGTGGTGGGGGGAGAAGTGACTGCTGTATATTTTCTTTTTTTTTTTTTAATTATTATTATTTAAAACAAACCTGGCCCTGTTTCTCCTCCCGGTGCCGCTCCCGGTGCCGGGGGCTCCGCGTCTCGGCGGCTCCGCTCCCACCGTTGCGGTGCCTCCTGGGGGCTGCGGGGACACGCGTGGGCGTGGGGATCCCTCCTGGGGAGGGGAGAGGGGACGTGGGGGGGGTCATTGTGGGGACGTGCATGGGGGGGGAGGACAGGGACGGGCAGGGGGACGGGGACAGGCATGGGGACACCTGGCACCGCCACGGCACGCTTGTCACGGTGGTGGCGTAGCCCATGGGACAGCCGGCACCGTGGGACACCCAGAACCACCACGGGACACCCAGAACCACTATGGGACATGCGGCACCACCACGGGACACCCAGAGCCACCATAGGCCACCCAGTGCCACCACGGGTCACCCGTCATCACCGCAGCGGGCGCGATAAGCTGGGTGCTGGCCGTGGCTGGGGAGCTGTGGCCGAGGCTGGTGGGTGCTGATAGCACCCAGCTCTTCCTGCACCCCCGGAGGTGACGTGGGGCTGGGTGTCTGCGGCCCTTCCTCCCCCCCTCGGGGACACCCAGATCACCCATGGGTGCTGGGCCGGGTGTGGGTGGACACCAGGGACGTGTTTGGTACAGGGACACGCTGGGCATGGGCACGCAGCAGGATTGGGGACACCCCGTGGTGCACCCGAGGCGTGGGGACACCCTGGATGCTGTCATGGGTGCGCCCAGATCCCCAGTGTGGCACCCATGGGTGCAGCCTGCAGGCTCCATGACCCTCCTTGTGCCAAGACCCCCCCAGGGACATCGCTGGGGACTGTCACAGGCAGTGTCACCTCCGGCCAAGCCCCGGGATGTGGGGAGGAAGCTGTGGGTGCTCGCGGGCCCCTCCGAGGCCCATCCCCGAGGCAGGGGCACATCCGGACCCCCCCTTCCTCAGGCATTATCAGCGGGGACACCCGCGGGGAGAGCTCAGCGGTGCCACGGGGACGATGTACGGCAACATCGAGCCCGGCCAGCCCAGGGAAGGGCAGAAATGGGTGCTGGGGCCTGGTGGCAAGGAAGGTAGGGAGCACCCCGGGGTGCTGGCTGGGGTTGGGGCGAGCCCAGCGGTCCCCAGTTCATGCCCCGAGCCTGTCCCTTTTGGGATCTGAGGAGGGGTCCCCAGGGCAGATGGCGGCACCAAAGGGGATCCCCGTTTCCATCCCCGCTGCCCACAGGCAAACCCTGGGACTCTGGTACCCAACGGGGGGGTCCCCAGGGTGGTGACATGGGGGGGAAGCCCCCATCGTGGTGCTTGCCGGGGGTCCCCAGGGCTGGTGGTGGCACCAGAGGGGAGGGGATCCCCCACAGGCACCATCCCTGCTGCCCCCTCCCCAGTCTGCAGCGACCCGTGCCCCGTGGAGGAGAACCCCTACGAGCCCCTCGACCCCCCCATCGCCGTGCCGAGCCGCAAGCACCTTCCTGACCCCCCAGGTGAGCCCACCCCTGTTGGGATGAGGCCGTGCAGCCCGAATCGGGGCCCTGCAGCCCCGTCGGGACCGGCCGTCACCCCCTCACCCTCCCCAGCGCGCCCGTGCTGCTCCCAGGAGAGGCTGGTGCTGGTGGGCGCCGTGGCCCTGGGGGTCTCGGTGCTGCTCAACGTCCTCCTCCTCGCCCTCGGCTCACGGCGCAGTGAGTACGGGGGGGCCACGGTGGCTCCCCCACACTGGGGCTGCTGGGGGCAGCGTTAAGGTGATTGGGGGACCCCCCCAGCACGGTGACCCTTTGCCCCCCTCCAGTCGCAGCCCTGACGGTGGCCCTGGATGAAGCGGAGACGGTGAAGCAGCCGCCCAACGTGGGTGCGTGCCCGTGCCGCGTCCCCCCCCCCCCCATTTCCTCGGTGTCACCGTCTCCCCGGGCCCCATTTCTCCACCGTCCCCCTCTCCGCAGCCTCCGCGCCCTTCCTGCTGTACAACGAAGCGCACGACAAGTGCGTGGAAGCGCGCGGGCGGCAGCTGACGGCGGCGCCGTGCCGGCCCCAGGCCGAGGGGCAGCGCTTCCAGTGGCTCCCCGGGGAGCGGCTGCGGAGCGCGGGGGGGTCCCGCTCCTGCGTGACGGCGGCCAAGGAGAAAAACCTGTCCACGGTGTGGCTGCAGCCGTGCCGCGAGGACGGCAGGCTGCAGCGCTGGGAGTGCCGCGACGGCACGCTGCTGGCGCTGGCCGGCCACGACCTCTATTTCAATTACGGCAACAACCAGCAGCAGACCGTGATGCTCTACATCGGGGACCGCGAGTGGAGCCGCTGGGTCGCCCACGGGAGCAAGGACAACGTCTGCTCGCGCTCCAGTCAGTCCCCGGCTGCCGATGTTTAGGGCCTTGCCCGACCCTAAATGGGCAGAAACGCAGCCCCAGCCTGGCAGGGATGTGGCTTAAGAGAAGCCCAGACGGCAACGGGGCCCTAACTCAGGCCTAATCCTAAATGATTTGGGTTAAGCTAACCCTAAAGGAGTCCGAACCCTAGTGGAGTCCTAGCCCAGCTAACCCCTGACCCTGTTGGAAACCTATAGAGGACTCAAGCTAAACCCAAACCCAAATGGGACCTAAACCCAGTTACAGCTCTAATTATATAGGATTCTATATATCCTAACCTATACATCCTAATCCTTTCTATATATCCTAATCCTAACCTAGCCTAAACCCCAACAGGGCCCCACCCAGACCTAACCCCAAACACACAGGATTTAACCCCAAACCCAGCAGGGCTCTAACCCTACCCCTAACCCAGCGGGGATCCTGGCAGCTCCCGCAGCCCTACCGGGGGGAGGTGACCCCCTTTCTGTGTCCCCTCCCCAGGTTGCCCCCCCTGCTCCAGAGGCTGGACCTATTTCGAGGGCTCGTGCTATTTCCGCTCCGCGACGCCGAGCACCTGGGAGACGGCGAGGGGCTTCTGCTCGGCCCTGGGCACGCGGCTGCTGGAGGTGGACAGCCCCGAGGAGAGGGTGAGGGGGGCACAGCCCGGCCCCCACGAGCCTCTCTCCCCAGCTGTCCCCAGGGATGTGCAGGGGTCCTGGGGGGGGGGGCTCTGCAGCGGGGTGACCCTGCCTCTGCCCCCAGAATTACATCAAGACCTTTCTGCAAGCCTCCTCCTGGCTGGGCATCACGGACAAAGAGGTCGAGGGCACCTGGAAGCGGGCAGACGGCACCGTCCTGCCCAAGGGGCACAGGTACGGCCCAACGGGCGCTGGGGACAGGGCGAGGGGGAAATGGGGGTGCGGAGGGGGCCACCCCCTAAACCATGTCGCTTCCCCCCCCCCCTCCCGACACAGCTCCTGGCACAGGGACGAGCCCAACGGGGGGCAGCAGGAGAATTGCGCCGTGGTGCGCGTGGACGGCACGTGGTTCGACTACCCCTGCACCAGTCAGCTCCCCTGGGTGTGCGAGGGGCAGCCCTGAGCGTGCAGGGGGGGGGCACCTCGAGGGTCTGTGTCCCCCCCCCCCAAGTCCCCGTCACTGCCCCAGAGCCCATCGCCACGCCTGCCCTGCAGCCCCGCAGCACCGCCGCTCACCGCTTCGGCCCCCAGCACCGCTCCCTCGGGGCGAGATTCGGTGTTGGGGGCGCACCGGGGGGGTCCCCGTGGGATAATAAATGGGTGCACAGAGTGAGGGTCCCTGATTGGATGGGGGTCCTGACGGCATGGGGGGGGGGTGTGGGCTGCCCCGGGGTGTCGGGGAGCAGCGGTGATTTCGGTGATTTCGTGGGTGATGCCACATCGGAGCCCTCTGCAGACGTGGGGTGGGGGGGGGGCTTGCCCCCCTCCCAGGTTCCCCAAATCATTCCCAGGCACCCAAATACCCCCCCAACCCCCCCAAATACCTCCCCAGATTCCCCAAATACCCCTCGAGCCCCCCCAAATACCCCCCCCAGGCTCCCCAAACACCCTCCAGACCCCCCAAATACCCCTCCAACCCCCGCCAAATACCCCCCCAGCTCCCCAAACACCCCCCAGCCTCCCCAAACACCCCCCAGCCCCCCCAAACACCCCCCCCAGCCTCCCCAAACCCCCCCACCTCCCCCTTAGACCCTCCCATGTCTTCCCCCAACCCCCCCAGCACCCCCGCCCCCAGGGCTCCCCCAGCCGGGGGGCGCGGAGAACGGGGCCGGGGGGTGCTAGAACCGGGGCGGGGGGGTCCCGGCCTGTAGTTACCGGGAGCCCCGTGGGGTTTTTGGGGGGGGTCCGGCTCGGGGGGGGGGGGTTCCGGACTACAGCTCCCGGCAGCGCTCCCGGCGGCATCCCAGGAATTCGCTCCGCGGATGGCGCCGCCGCCGCTCCAGGCCCCGCCGCGCTGACCGGGGGGGGGGGGTCCCGGGGCCACCGGGAGGAACGGGAGACCCCCACCCAACCGGGTTTGGGCGGGGGGGGGGCGGAGCGGGCTAATTGGGGAGAACCGGGTTAAAGGGGACCGGACTGGGCTGAACGGGACCGGACGGGGCTGAACTGGAACGGACTGGGCGGAACGGGACCGGACCCGGCTGAGGGGTCCCCGGGGGTGCCGAGGGGACCCCCGTCGGGGTGGGGGGGTGGGGGGGGTCCGGGCAGGGCCGATGGCGGAGCCGCTGCTGCGGAGGACCTTCTCCAGGCTGCGGGGCCGGGACCGCCCGCGCAGGAAGAAATCGGATGGCAAAGAGCGAGGTACGGAGCTGGGGAGGGGGCGAGGAGCCCAACACCCCCCCCGGGATGGAGACCCCACCTCAGTCACTTTGAACCCCCCCCCCCCGAGTCCCTGGTGCAGCCCCCGAGGGCTCCGCATCACCCCCCGGGTCCCTGCTGCCCCCCCCAAAAGGGATCCTTGGGGTCCTGCCCCCCCAAAAAGGGATTCCTGGGGTCCATCCCCCCAAAAAAAGGGGTCGTTGGGGTTCAGTCCCCCAGGAATGAGACCCCCGGAGCCTTGTCCCCCACGGAGTCCCCCCTCGTTGTGAACCCAGCTCCCTTCTGCCCCCCAAGGGAGGGACCCCCAGTGTCACTCCGAGCCCCCCCCAAAGCTCCCCACCACCCCTTTTGCCCCCACAGAAGGTTCCCCATCACCCCCCGTCCCCCTCTGTGCCCTGCAGGAGTTGGGGTGCCCGGGGGGGGGCTATGGGGTGAAGGATTGGGGGGGACCCTGCTGGGGGCCTCCACCGATGCTGGCGCTCATTTGGGGTACCCGAGCTGGGGGCTGGGGTGGGTGGAACATCCCATGTGGGCGCTGGAGCCAGAATTGGGGTGCGGGGGGGGGGGCTCGCAGCACCCCCTGTTCACATCTTGGAGGGGTGGGGGGCTGTGACAGCACCTGGGGGTGAGCCCCACGGGGGTGCTCCGGTGGGACGGGGACCGGGACTGGGCGCGGGTGCTGGTGTGACACGAGTGGGGTGCAGGAGGGGTGCAGGCGACCCGGGGCGCACAAATCCTCTGGGAGGGGCGCAGAGAATTGGGGGCGCACTGAGCCCCCCCCCAGCCTGCATGTGTGTGAGCAGGGGGTGCAGGCCAAGGGGACGGAGGCAGAGCCGTGCCCACCGGGATGCGGCCGTGTCTCCCATCCATGGGGTGCAGCAGGGCCCGGCCGAGCCCCCCCCCCCAGTCCTCCGGCGAGCCCCCCCGGGATGGTGGGAGCGCGGCAGCGGGGCCGCCCGGCCGTAAACAGCCGGAAATCCCTCTTGGCAAGGGGCTGCGCGCAGCTGCCTCCGCGGCCCCGGCAGCGGATTCGGGGCTCGGAGTGGGGGGGTGGCCCCAGGGGACGCTGGTGGGGACCCCCGCCAAGCCCCGGCCTTTCTCCCTTCCCGCAGAGCATCCTCCGCCAAGCCCCGAGTCGCCGGCGGACCCCGAGGCGGCCCCGGTGTCACCGGAGCCGGCAGCGCCCCGCAAGCAGAACTGGGCCCGTTTCTCCTGCGGCGCCCGCGATGAGCCCGGCGGGAGGGGGGTGACGGCTCCCAAAGCTTCCCCGGAGCCGGGGGAGGCCGGCGAGCTGGATCCGGCCACCAGCACCCCCTGGCCAGGCCTGGAGCCCCCCGGCGAGGAGCCCCCCGAGCCGGCGGAGGAGGCCGAAGCAGCCAACGGCTCCGTGGAGCTCGGTGGTCCCAGCAGGAGCCCGGGGCACGGCGCCTACCTGCAGAGCCTGGAGCGGAGCAGCCGGCACTGGGTCCTGTCCTCGGCGAAGGCACCGGGGCTGGACGAGGCTGGTGGCGGCGGGGCCGAGGCCGAGGCCGGTGGGGCCGGCAGCGAGGGCGAGATCTGGTACAACCCCATCCCCGAGGACGAGGACCCCCCGAAGGCGAGCGGGGAGGACGTCCCCTGGGGGGGCAGAGGGGCGGCGGAGAGCCCCGGGGCCCGCGGCGCGGAGGAGCCGGCGGCTGGCAGGACGCAGGCCTGTGGTGAGGGGCTGGGAAAGGGGAGAGGGGGGACAGGGGGGGCCCCGGGTTCCCCACAGCCCTTGTCACCACGCAGGAGAGTGTCCCCTGGGCCCCGCAGTCTCCATCTGCAGCACCCTATGGTCTTTTTGTCTTTCTTTGGTGCCTCTGAGGCTCCCTGGACCCCGAGGTCCTCAGAGGCCGTGGTCCCTTGTCCCCAGGGTCTCCCGGACCCCGTGGTCCCTGTCCCTTCCTTGTCCCCCAGGCCGACATCCCCCAGAGTCCACAATCCCGGTCCCTTTCTGCCCACCCCCCCGGGATGATGTCCTTGAGACCTCGCGGTCCCTGTCCCCACCCTGTCCTCAGGGGCATCTGGACCCCGTGGTCCCCATGGTCCCCATGATCTTTGCCATCCCCCAGACACATCCCATAACCCCTGCCCCTTCCCCATAACCCCTGCCCCTTCCCCATCCCCCAAATCAGAACATTGTCCCCCAAACCCCACCAGGGTTTCCAGGGCGCCACCCCAGTCCCAGCCAGGCTCCCAGTACCCCCCCAGGTACCCGCTCACCCTTTCTCTCCCCCCCAGCAAAGATGCCCATCCCCTGCGTGAGCCTGGGGACGGGGCTGTCCCCCCCGTCCCCCCCCGCCAGCCCCGGTGCCACCAAGAAGGGCCGCTCGCTCAGCAAAGTGAAGTCCCCGGGGACCGTGCGCCGCCTCTCCATGAAGATGAAGAAGCTGCCGGAGCTGCGGAGGAAGCTGAGCCTGCGCAGCCCCCGGCCGCGGGGCCAGGAGGGGGGCACCTCACCCTGCGACGCCCGCAAGGAGTCCAGCAACGTCATCAGCCGCTACCACCTCGACACCAGCGTGGCCTCGCTGCCCCGCGCCAAGGCGGCCAGCAAGGGCGGCTACTTGAGCGACGGCGACTCCCCGGAGCTGCCGGCCAAAACCGGGGCGCACGCGGAGCCGGAGGATGGGGAGAGCGGGCTGGACGTGGGCGCGTTCCGGCCCTACAGCTGCGGGGAGCTGCCCCGGGGCGGGCAGCACATCTCCGGGCTGGTCAGCGTCCACCTCTACGGCGTGCGGGACCTGAAGCCGCCGCGAGCCGAAGCCCGGGAGGTTTTCTGCGTGCTGCAGGTGGACGCGGCCAACAGGGCCCGCACGGCTCTGCTGCCCTGCAAGGCGGCTTTCCTCGGCCTCAACCACACCTTCAACCTGGAGCTGGAGGGCGCCCAGCTCCTCAAGGTCATCGTCTTCTCCTGGGACCCCTCCTCCTGCCGCAACCGCCTCTGCTGCCACGGCACCGTCGTCCTGCCCCACATCTTCCGAGGTGCGTGGCGGGGGCGGGAGGGGATGGTTTGGGTGGGTGGGGGGTTCACGGTACGGCTCCCCACCGACAGCCCCCCTCTGTTCCCCAGGCTGCCGGGCGCAGCAGCTGGCGGTGCGGCTGCAGCCTCGCGGCGTCCTCTTCTCCAAATTCACCCTGGTGGAGCAGTGGGACGGCCCCGGCGAGTGCGAGCCCCGCGTCTTCGGCGTGGAGCTGGGGCAGCTGGTGGAGAGGGAGAATTCGGCCACCAAGGTGCCGCTGCTGATCCAGAAATGCGTGGCCGAGATCGAGAAGCGGGGGCTGAAGGTGGTGGGGCTGTACCGGCTCTGCGGCTCGGCCGCCGTCAAGAAGGAGCTGCGCGACGCCTTCGAGAGGGACAGCGCGGCCGTGACGCTGTCTGAGCAGCTCTACCCTGACATCAACGTCATCACGGGTCAGTGCCCACCCCACGGCCCCCCCCCGGCACCCACGGGGGGTGGCCACGCTGATGTCCCCCCCCCCGTGGCTCCTCGCCCGCAGGGATCCTCAAGGACTACCTGCGGGAGCTGCCCACGCCGCTCATCACCCCCACGCTCTACCACGTCGTGCTGGAGGCCATGGCCAAGCGGCCCCCCCGAACCCCCCCGGGCGAGCGGGACGCCGTCACCCTGCTCGACTGCCTGCCGGACGTCGAGAAGGTGGGTGGCCAGCCCTAAAACTGGGGGTTTTAGGACTAAAACTGGGGGATTGCCGGGGCACCCCTCTCGGTCCGGGGCTCTCCGTCGCGCGTCACCACTGCAGTGTCCTGGTTTCTGGATGAGTGGCATGTCCTGGTGTCACCACCCCCCCCCGAGCATTTTTTTGGGGGGGTCTCTCCATCCCTCGTAGCCAAGCATTTATCTCCACATCGTTATTAGCTGCGTGGTTCAGCCCCCGCGACATCGGGGAGCAAAACGTTTCCCCTCGGTGGCCCAGCGCGGCCGGGGAACGTCACCCCGGGGGGTGTCCCTGCTGATGCCACCCTGTCCCCCAGGCCACGCTGACGCGGCTCCTGGACCACCTCAGCCTGGTGGCCTCCTTCCACGACTTCAACCGCATGAACCCGCAGAACATCGCCGTCTGCTTCGGGCCCGTGCTGCTCACCCAGAGCCAGGAGCCTCGGCGCGGCGGCACCAGCGGCGCCCGCAGCTACGCCCACAGCGAGGACATCGCCAGCGCCGTCGATTTCAAGAGGCACATCGAGGTGCTGCACTACCTGCTGCAGGCCTGGCCGGGTGAGCAGGCTTCAGGGGGGGCTGCGGGGGACACCCGTGGCCCCCACCCCGGGGGAAATTTGTGCTTGGCCACCTCCTGGGCCACCCTCTGGGGGGGTCAGGTGACACCCTGGGGCTGTGCCATGCGCCTCTGACCCCAGTAGTTGCCCCCAGGGCCTTTCCTGCCCCCTCCAACACCACCAAAGCACCCCGAGGCTTCCCCCTTTTATCCTGACCGCCCCCCCCGTGCTCTCTCCGCAGCCCCCCGCTCATCCCCGGCCCCCCAAATCTGCGAGGAGGAGGCGCCGCCCGGCCGCCCGCGGCAGCCAGCGCTGCACTTGGAGCTGCTGGACACGGCGGTGGTGGCTCGCCACCGCCCCCGGGGACCCGAGAGCCCCCCCAGCAACCGCTACGCCGGCGACTGGAGTGTCTGCAGCCACCAGTTTGGGGGCTACGACGAGGTGGTGGCGGCGGCGGCGGCCGGTGATGGCGAGAGCCGGGCCGCCCACCGGCGGACCCTCTTCGTGGCCGATTTCGGCCTCGGTGACGAGCCCGAGGCGCCCTTCGGCCCCCGGCTCAACCTGAAGGACTTCGACGCGCTCATCCTGGACCTGGAGCGGGAGCTGGCCAAGCAGATCAACGTCTGCCTGTGACGGCGCCGCCGGGGGGGGGAGCGACCCAAAACGCAGCACTTGCCTCTCGTTGCCTTCGATTTGCACAGCGCCGAGCAGGAGGGACCCCCAAGAAAAAGGTGATGCTGTCTTTGGGGGGGGGGCCCTGGCCCCATCGAGCAGCCCCCTGCCCCCCAAAACTGGCTGCACGCCCCCCCCCCCACGCATCCACGTGCCGTTTTGGGGGGGATTTTGGAGGTTCGGTGCCTCTTGCTCGGCTTCTTATGGCCAAATTTTGCCCTCAAGTGCCTGTTCGCCCCTTTTCCCCTTCCAAAGCCCCCCCATGGGTGCCCCCCCCTCCAAAATCAGTATTGACAAGGGTCCATGACCTCCATCGCTCAGGCTACGGGGGGGGGGCAACCTCTCCCCTTCCCCATCATCCACCCACCCCCTTCCCTGCTCACGAGGGCTCCCCAAAATCCCCTCCCTGTTGCTGGCCCCCTGAGGAGGGTGATGGCTCTCCCTCAGGGGTGGCAGCAAAGACCCCCCAGCCCCCCCACACTTTTTTTTCTGCCCCCCCCCGGGGGGGTGCTGCCGGTACGGGAGCGCTGAGCTTTTATTTATTACTCCAGCTTCGTGTGCGTGCGCGTGGACGGGTGGCCCGTGGCGGTTGCCTTCACCGCAGCCTGCAGAAAAAAGCCCTTTTCACCCCCAAAATGAACCCAGCACCAGTGTTATGGGGGCGGGGAGGGAGGGAGCCAAATTAATTCCTCTCCCCCCCCCTAAAAAAAAACCAGCCTTGCTCAGTATTAGCCTTACAGGAACCAGCTGAATGTGAACGCACCGGCCCGGCCGGGCTGAGCCAGCAGTGTTAAATCACCCGGGCAAGGGGTGCCACCAGGCCGGGGGGGGGCTCGGTGACAACGCTGTCCCCAGTCGTGTCCCCCCCCGGATGGCCTTCACGGCCCACCCTGCCCTGCCCACCGCCTTGTCACTGTCACCAGCAATAAAGGACACAAGCTGCACTCGCCGCCGGGCTGTGTGCGTGTGGTGGTGTCCCCTCGGGGGGGGGGTGGCAGTCCCCAAAATGCCCCGTGGCACCCAAATTGATGGCACAGGATGGCAGGCGGGGGCACACGGCGCTGCTTTATTGCCAGGGGACACCACTGTCCCCCCCCCCAGCCCCAAGTTAGGGGGCACAGCACCGATGCCACCGCCCTAACACCTCTGTTCGCCCATCCCCGGTTGGGGACACCTCGGGTGGCACCACGGTGGCACCCAGCCGGGGCATCCTTCAGCCCCCTCATCCCTGCTGCTGGGCACTGGGGGGGTGTCAGGGGAGAGAGGGGACAGTCCCTAGACAGAGATGGAGCCCTCGCGGAAGTCGGTCTTGCCGATGAGGGCGTTGACGAGGACGGGGTGGCCGCGGCGGCACGCATCCTGCGCGGCGCGGAGGACGGCGTCCAGCCGCTCGCTGTCCGGGCGCCCCACCATGAAGCCTTTGCCCCCCAGCGCTTCGGCCACCGCGTGGTAATCTGCAGGGAGGGGACAGGGACACGGCTGTGGCACCAGCGTGACAGCGGGGGTGACAACGGGGCCACCGGGCACGGCCCCAACCTCCCCGCTGCGTCGTGGCCACCGAGCGCGGCACCGTCAGGGCGATGCGGGGCCACCAGGAGCGGCTCAGCACACCCCAGGGTGACCCAGGGCCACCAAGTGTCCCCGGATCAAGGGGCTCGGTGTCCCCCCCCAGTGTGTAGGGGACAGTGGGGACAGCGCTCACCCAGGTACTCGAGGCCACATGCCACGTTGCTGCCCAGCATGGCCACCTGCTCCCGGGAGATTTGGCTCCAGCACGCGTCGTTGCCGACCAAGGCGATGATGGGCGTCTGCAGGGGACAAAGCACGGGGCCACCGCGCCCCGGTGACAACCCAGAGCGGGGACAGAACCCCCAATTCCACCCCCCCACACCCCGTTTCGGTGCCGTCTCACCTTGTGCCGCACAAAGGTGTCGAACTCTATCAGGCTGTAGCCCAGCGAGCCGTCACCGTACAGGACCCAAACCTGGCAGGGGAAGGGACAAGTGACATGAGGCCAAGCAGGTGGCACCGCTGTCCCTGTGGGCCACCACGTGCCTGTGTGTCCCCCCCCCTCCATACCTCGGCCTCGGGGCGGCACAGCTTGGCACCGAGCGCGAAGCCGCCGCCAACTCCCAGCGTGCCGAAGGCTCCTGCGAGGACAACGGCCAGTGTCACCCGCATGTCCCCAGCAGTGACAACGTGCCCAGGGCCGGGGGGGGGGGGTCCTCACCGGGGTCCAGCCAGGAGAGGGGCCGGCGGGGGCGCACGATGTAGGCGGCGGTGCCCACGAAGTCCCCCCCGTCGGCCACCAAGAGGCTCTCGGGGGGCAGCAGCGCGTCCAGGCGGTACAGCAGGTCCAGGGGGTTCAGGTGCTGCGGGGTGGGGGTCGCTGCCTTCTCCCTGTTAGAGAGGACCCCACACCCCCCAAAAAAAAGAAGAGATTGGCTGGGGTCTCCCCAAAATGGGCATGCCCCCCCCACACAAATGGGAACCCCGAAGTAGTAAGGGGCTGGAACTTCTCACCCCAAAATCAACCCAGACACCTCCCCCTTGTACCCAAAATGGGGTCCTCAGCCCCCAAAACGGACACGGGACCCCCCCAGGCTCTGGAAGCTGCCCCCCCCCATCCCCGTGCTCACCGGTTCGCCTTCTCCTTGCGCTGCTCGGCCTCGCGCAGCCCCCCCAGCCAGTCCTTGGGGCAGGAGTAGCCCCCCAGCCGCCGCGCCAGCCCCACCACGAAGGAGGCGGCGTCGCCTGCAGAGAACGCCCAGCTCATCACACCCCCTCCAAAAAAAAACCACCCCAGTTGTCTACGTCAGACCCTAAACCTGCCCGAATTGGCCCCAAAACCAGCTCAGTTATCATAAAAATAGTTTGGCCAGGGAGGGACCTTAAAAAGCCCCCCCAAATCTGGCTCAGCTGAGCCCCAAACGTGGCTGAACTGGCCCCAAACCCCACCTCTCCTGGCCCCAAACAGAGCTTAGCTCTCCCCAAATCCCTATTGTCCCCCAAAACCACCTCACCCGACCCCGACCCCATCTCCCGCGGTGCCACCACCCTGCTGGGGCCATGGGGGCGGCGGGGGGGCCGGGGCTGTCACCTTGCACGGCGAGCCGCGGCCGCCAGAAGACGTCGGCGTTGCGGAGGAGCTGCGCCCGGTCCCGGTTGACTGGCCACCACCACGGTTTGGCGGCCGAAAAGGCGCCCGTAGGAGAGACGGAAATCGCAGACGGCGCCTTTGGGGGGAGGTGGGGGGCACAATTTGGGGACGGGGGTCACCTGCGGGGTGTCCCCGTCCCTTCCCCAGCCCCGGCACCCACCTGCCAGCAGCACCAGGTCGGCCTCGCGGAGGGCGTCGCGGCGGTTCTGGCGCAGGAGCAGGGGGCTCTCGGGGGGCAGCAGCCCCCGCGCCGCCCCCCCCAGGTAGCAGGGGATGCCCAAGGCCTCCAGCGCTTCCCTGCATGCCCCAAAAGCGGCTCGATCAGCCCCAAAAATGGCTCGGTCAGGCCTCAGAACAGGCTCGGTTGGGGGCCCCAAAACTGGTTTGGTTGGACCCAAAACCAGCTCAGCTGAACCCCAAAACTCAACCAGCAGTCCCCAGAGTGGCTGATCCAGCCCCAAACCTGCTCATCTTTCCCTAAACCACCTCGTTTTCCCCAAATAAGCTCAGCTGGCCCCAGAGCGGCTCAGCCATCCCCAGGTCTGCTCATCCAACCCCAAAACTGGATGATCCATCCCCAAAGAGGCTCAGTTGTCCCCAAACCAGCTGATCCGTCCCCAAACCTGCTGGCTTGTCCCTGGACGTGCATAGCTGTCCCCAAACCATCCCCTGTCCCCAAACCATCCCCTCTGTCCCCAAACCATCCCCTCTGTCCCCAGGCCCGCTCACCGGAGCTCCTCAGCCGGCGTGGGTGGCAGCAGAGCCTGGCTGCCCACCAGCACCAGCGGCTTCGTGGCCCGGCTCACCAGCTCGGCACAGCGCTGTATCTGCCATCCCAAAAACAGCTCCGTCAGACCCCAAAAACGGCTCCATCAGACCCCAAAAAACTCAGAAGCAGGTGGGGGAACAAAGCCAACCTCGTCCTCGGTGGCCAGCGGCACCTTCACCGGCAGCGGGGTGACATCCCGGGGCACCCAGGCACCCGCAAAGAGGTTATGGACGTAGTTTTGGAGGTACCTGTCGAGAAGGGGGCGTTTTGGGGTGCTGCAGCCCCCCCGGGGTGCTGGCAGCACCCATGGGTGGCGGGGGGGTGGCTGCTCACCACTGCACCAGCTTTCCACGGAACCCCCGGGCGCTCTTGGCACCACCGACCTCCTTCTCCACCACGTGGAAGGGGTAGAGGACAGTCGATGGGGAGCTCCACAACACGGGACCTGTGGGATGGGGGTGAAGGGACCCAAAAAAAAAAAAAGGACCCCCAAAACAAACAAAATAACGCGTTTCAGGGAGGTGACACCAGCACCACCAAAAGCGCCGTGCCAAAAGCAGCGCCAGCCAAAAGCAGCGCCCACAATGAGACCTGGGGGGGTGGAAATCACCCCAAAGCTTCCCCAGGGGGGGGACAGGGGGTGTTGGGGTGTCCCAAATCTTTACCGGGGGTCCCTGACTGCGCGGTGGCGATGGCTTGGCGGAGCGCAGGGACGATGTCGCGGACGGTGCGCACCGAGACGCACGCCTTGCACAGCGTCCTGAAGAGCGAGAGCTGGTCGATGTCCTGCAGCGCGCCCCGGCCCTGCGGCGAAAACCCCAAAATCGAAAAAAAAAAAAGGTAGGTTTGGTCCCTTCAATCCCCTCCCTCCCTCCGTGAGCCCACCGGACCTTCTGCAGCGAGGCGGCCGCCCCCCCGATGAGCAGCAGCGGTGACTCGGCCATCTGCGCGTTCTTGATGGCCGTCACCGCGTTGGTGACGCCGGGGCCGGCGGTGACAGCGGCGACGCCGATGCGGCCTGTTGGGGAGGGAGATGGGGGGGTGGGAGGTGACCCCCTGGGGACCCCGGTTTTGGGGTTCAGGGCGCAGGGGGCCCGGCTGCGGGGTTCTTTTTTGGGGTTGGATTGGTTGGGGGGGGGGGGATAAATAGGGAGAAAACCCATGGGGAAGAGAGCCAAAGAGGGCTGGAAGCCTCCACTCAACGGGGACCCCAAAGAGCGGGGACACCCCAAAACCCCCCCACCCTCTGACCAAGAGGTCCACCCCCATCACCCCAGCGGGTACCCGAGAGCCTGGAGACGGCGTCGGCGGCGAAGACGGCGGTGGCCTCGTGCCGGGTGTCCACCACGCGGATCCCCAGCTTCTCGCTGGCCACCAGCACGGGCGAGATGTGGCCGCCGGCCAGGGCGAAGACGAAGCGGACGCCGTGAGCCTTCAGCACCTCCGCCACCAGCTCGCCCCCGTAGCGGGGGCTCCGGGGGTCCGCCTGCGAGGCCAGGAAGATGCCTGCTTAGAAAACCGGGCAGATTTAACCCAAAACCGGGGTGTTTTACCCATATTTTGACCTTACCTTGTGGAGGATCCGGTAGAGGAGCCCCAAGCGGTGCGCGGCCACCAGCAGTGCCGTGGCCGTGGCCGCCAGCAGCACGGCGCCGACGCAGCCGAGGAGGGCGAGCAGAGCCATGGGGACGCTGCGGAAGGGACGGGAGGTGACGGTGACGGCGACGTCCCCAAATTGTCCCCGCGACGTCCCCAAATTGTCCCCGGCGCGGCGGAGAAGCCCCGGCACCGCCAGGCAGGGGGGCACCAAACGGGAACTCCCCCCGGCGCCGGGGACAGAGGAATGTCGGTGCCGGGATGGGGACGGTTAATTAGAGGCGGTTAATTGAACCCATCCCAGTGCCACAGGCGCCCCGGCCGGAGCCCGAAGTCTGCTCATTTGCATAATTACAGCCTAACGAAGGCATTCCCGGCTGCTTAGGCCATGCCGGTGCAAAGACCCCCAGGGAGGAGGGCGAGCACCAAACCTGGCCCAATTTCCCCCAAAACACAACCCCTTTCAGCACCCAGAAGCAGGTCGGACGCCAGATTTTCCCCCTCAACCCCAATTTCCCCCATTTTCACCTTAAAACGGCGGGTGAGCATTGCAGCTTGCCATAAGGGTGAAACAGGCGGGGGGGGGGAAAAAAAAACACCCAAATCGGGCAAAACTGCACCAAAACCACTGCAGGCCGGGACAAAACCCCGGTGACAACCCCCGGGGGGGGGGGGCTCCGAGTCCCATCGGGAATTGGCACGTCCCCCCCTGAGGGGCCGGGAGTCCTAATTTTGGGGTGCAGAAATATTTGGGTGCAGCCGACCCGGCGAGCTTTTCGGGTCGGTGTCACCCCCCCCCCCCCCAGGGCACCCCCCCAGGGCACCGTACCTGCTGGGTGACCGGAGGTGACCGGAGGTGACCGGGTCCCTGCGGGGTCGGGGACGAGCTCAGCCCTGGGGTCTGGGGACAGGGACAAATGTCCCCACGTCCCCACGTCCCCGTGTCCCCGCTGTCCCCATGTCCCCGTGTCCCTGTGTCCCCATGTCCCCGTGGCCACCCCGGCCTTTGGCCACCCCCCCTCTTGGTCACCCTGGGCCCGTGGCCACCCCGTCCTGGCTGTCCCCCCCTCCCCCCCCCCTCCAAGCCACCCTGTCCTGTCCCCGTGTCCCCAAAGCCCCCCCTGTCCCCCCTCCATGCTGGGGACACCACCCCCCCCCAGTCCCATGTCACCCCCCCCAGGTCACGCCCCCCCCAGCCCCAAGTCCCCCCCCTAGTCCCATGAAGTCCCATGGCCCCCCCATGGCCCCCAGTCCCATATCACCCCCCTATGCCCCCCCCAGTCCCATGTCCCCCCCCCATGTCCCCCCCCAGTCCCAAGTCACCCCCCATGGCCCCCCCACTCCCATGTACCCCCCCCAATGTCACGCCCCCCCCCAGTCCCATGCCCCCCCCCCATGGCCCCCCCAGTCCCATGGCCCCCCCACGTCCCCCCACGTCCCCCCCCGTCCCATTACCCCCCGTGCACCCCCCCCCCGAGGCCCCCCCGGAGCCCCCCCCCGGCGCCCCGCCGCCACCTGCCCGCTCCGGAAGCGCCGCCCCCCCACGAGGCCCCGCCCCCACCTGCAGGCCCCGCCCCCCGCCCCCGTGGCCCCGCCCCCTCACCCTTGCCCGCGGCCCCCGCGCGGATCCGCCCGCACCACGTGACTTTCCGGCGCCGCTTGCTCCTCCCGGGGGGGTGGGGGGGTGGTGTCACGTGGGGCTTGTGGCTGCTGATTGGCTGCTCGAGGAGCGTGGGCGGGCCCGGGAGGGGCGGGGCGGGGCTGGGGCAAAGGCCGGGGGAGGAGAGGGGCGGGGCCAGGCGGGAAGGGGCGTGGCCAGGGAGGGCGTGGCCAGGGGAGGGGCGGGGCTTGGGAGTGGGGGCTCCCAGGGAGTCTCCTCCCATAGGGGGGCGTCATTGGGGGGGGGTCACGTGAGGGGGGTTATGGGGGGGGTCACTCATGGGGGGGTCACTGGGGGGTGGGGGACACTGGGTGGGGGTCACTTGGAGGGGGTCATGGGGGGGTCACTTGGGGGGGGGTCACTTGGAGGGGGGTCACTTTAGGGGGTCACCTGGGGGGGGGGGCTCCTCCCATGGGGTCTTCTATGGGACGGGGGCTCCCATGGGGGTCTCATGGGGGGGGGTCTCCCATGGGGAGGGGTCCTCCCATGGGGGTCTCATGGGGTTATTCTATGGGGGGGGTCTCATATAGGGTTATTCCAGGAGGAGTTTTCATTGGGGGGGTCTCATACGGGGGGGGGGAGCTCACGGAGGGGTGTCTCCCGTGGGGTCTCATATGGGAGGCCTTACATGGGGGGGGTCCCATAGGGTCTCATATAGGGGGGGTCTCATGGGGGGGTCTCAAAATAGGGCGGGTCTCCCATGGGGGGCTCATACGGGGGGGGGCTCATGGGAGGCGCTCATATAGGGGTCTCATATGGGGGGGGGCTCCCATGGGTGTCTCATATGGGGGGGGCTCATAGGGGGGTCTCATGGGGGGGGGTTAACATGTGGGGGTCTCACATGGGGGGGGTCTCACACAGGGTCTCATACGCAGGGGGGGGGATGCGCGTGCCCCCCCCGGGCAGCCGGGAATCCGCCCCCCCCCTTCCCGTTCCCCTCGGAGTGCCGGGAGAGGATTTTTTTTTTTTTTTTTGGGGGGGGGGGGCAGAAATTCCAACCCCATAGGAAACTCCGGTACTCCGTCACGGCAGGGGGGGGGCAGGAAATCCCCGGGGGGGGGGGCCGGGGACACACCCTCGGAGGAAGTGCCCCCCCCCTTATCCCCCCCCACCCCCCCCCCCTTTACATCCACGGCGCTCCCGGGCTCCCCCCGCCCCCGGTGCCTCCGGTTCCTCCCCGGGGGGGGCTCCCCGGTGCCGGTCTGTCCCCACCCCCGGGGGGGCCGTGGAGTTGTGTGTGTGGGGGGGGACACAAGCTCCACCCCCCCCCCCCTCGTCACCACCCCCCCCCCCCCAGCCCGGTCCCGTTATAAGCGGGGCTCCGCCGCCGCTCCCCGCCGTGATGCCGCCGCCCGCCGACCCCGAGTGCCCCCCCCCGCCGTCACCGCTGCCCCCCCCGCCCCCCCCACGCTGCTGCCGCTGCCGGGACCGGGCGGCTCCGTGCTCCCGGGGGGGGGGGCGCAGCCGCCGCCTCCTCCCGGTCCTCGCCGCCCTCGGGGCCGTCGCTCTCGGGGCCGCCGCCGCCGCCGCCGCTTTGCTGGGGGTGCTCCGGGGGGAGAGCCCCGCACACGGCCCCCCCCCGCAGGTGGGCACCGGGTGGAGCTGGTGGGGGGGGGGGGGGCGCCTGACTGTCCGTCCGTCCTGTCCGTGTGTCTGTCTGTCTGTCCCCTGTTCCATCAGGCTGGGTGATGGGGTGGCCGTCTGTCCGGGTGTCTGTCCGTCCATCTGCCCGGGTGTCCGTCTGTCTGTCCAAGTTCCCGGTTGTCCGTCCGGGTGTCTGGCTGCCTGTCTGTCCACCCAGGCGTCCGTCTGTCCGGGTGACTGTCCGTCCGGGTGTGTCTGTCTGTCCAAGTGTCCAGTTGCCTGTCCAGGTGTCCGGTTGTCTGTCCGTCTGTCCGGGTGTCTGTCTGTCCGGGTGTCCGGTTGTCTGTCCGTCTGTCCAGGTGTCTGTCTGTCCATCCAGGTGTCTGGGTGTCTGATTGTCTGTCTGTCCACCCAGGTGTCCGTCTGTCTGTCCAAGTGCCCAGTTGTCTGTCTTTCCATCCAGGTGTCCGTCTGCCTGTCTGTCTGTCTGTCCAGCCTGTCCTGTCCAGGCGCCCGCCCGGTTGTCCGTCTGTCTGTCCCCCCCGCTGTCTGTCTGTCTGTCCCTCTGGGGGCCCAGCTGTCCGTCTGTCCTGGCAGTGCATCTGCCCACCCGGGCGTCCGTCTGTCCGCCTGGGGCCTGTCCCTTGTGCGTGTCCGTCTGTCTGTCTGTCTGTCCGCTTGTCTGTCCGTCCCCTCCCTCCTCCCAGGTGTCCATCCGTCTGTCTGTCCAGTCCAGCTCTCCATCCGCCCCCCCCCCCCTTCCATCCGTCTGTCTGTCCGGTTGTCTGTCCTGTCCCCCCCCCCCCCTTCCAGGTGTCCCCCCATCTGTCCGTCTGTCCGTCCGCGTGTCCCTGAGATCTGGGGGGGTCTCCACGCCCACCAGATGGGGACAGACGGACAGACAGGACATCAGGCCTCAACCCCATCACCCCCCCCCATCTCCCCCTTAACCCGGGGGTCATCCCCTTCCCTGGGACCCCCCCAAAACACCCTCTGGAGCTGGAAAGTCCCCAAATCCCAACTTCCCCTTCACCGGTGGGGGGGTGCGCTGTGTATGGGGGGGGGGACACGGGGCTGGGGACATGCGGGTCTCACTGACACCCCCCCCCTTTTTCTCCTCCCGCAGGGTGCCACGGCCGCCCACCTGCTGCTGAGCACCGGTAAGTCCCGGGGTCCCGGTGAGGGGCTTTGGGGTGCTTTGGGGTCACCGGGGGGGGGACACACTCAGGGATGCAGCGGCCCCCCCCCCCACCCCGTCATCTCGAAAGCGCCGCGCGGGTTCCCCCTTCCGACCTCAGAAAGGAAACGGTGTCCTGGGCCCGGAGCATCTGGGGGTGGCACGGGGCGGCCGCGGGCCCCTGGGGCGTCACGGAGTGTCCCTGGGGTGTCACGGAGCACCCCGAGGTGCCCAGGGCGTCACGGAGCAGCCTCCGTCCCTGTGGTCCCTGCGGTGTCACCGCCTGTCCCCAAGGTGTCACGGAGCAGCCTCCGGCCCTGCAGGCTCCGTGGTGTCATCTCTCCCCCATCGCAATCCCCGTTTCCCCTTGGGGCCACCCCCATTTCCCATTGGGGTCACCCCCATTTCCCCTCGGGGCCACCCCATTCCCCAATGGGGACACCCACTCCCTACTACCACCACCCACTCCCCCCCCCATATTAACCCCATTCCCATTTTGTGTCCCCCCCAGGCTCGCTGGCGGTGTCCTCCAGACCCTTGTGGCGCTACGAGGAAGGCATCAGCGGAGTCTTCCTCAGCAGTGACCTGGAGGTGACGGCCGCGGGGCTGCAGGTGGCGGCGGGGGGGCTCTACCTCCTCTACGGGCAATTCGCCCTCACCTGCATAGCCGAAAATTGCCCCCCCGGTAACGTCACCCTCCAGCTGCGCCGTGCCGGCTCCGTGCCCCCGCTGCTCTCCGTGCCGCTGGTGCTGCCCGGTGCCACCGACCCCGGCCCTGCCCGCTCGGGTTTGGCTCAGGCCGTGGGGCTGCTGCAGCCCGGGGACGTCCTGGACGTGGAGCTGGTCGGGGACATCGGCGGGGACGAGTGGCAGATGGCGCAGGACCAGCGGGAGGGGAATTTCGTGGGGCTGCTGCGCATCGCCGGGGGGTGACGGCAGGGGACGCGGCCGCTGCTGGTGCACGGAAAAGGGGACCCGGAGGGGTTTGGGGACGGTCACCCCCCATCCATACCACCCCCCGGTTGGAGGTTTGGGGACGTCGAGGGACGTTGCTGACTTCCATGCCTGGAGATTTGGGGACGTCGGTGACCCCGTGCCCTTGCCCTGAGATTTGGGTTCCAAACCCCCACGCCCAGAGATCTGGGGACACCAAGGGACACTGCTGACCTCCAGGCACGGAGATCTGGGGCTGGTGCCGCCCTCGCTCGGAGGCTGGGGACATCGAAGACCTCCACCCTTGAAGATTTGGGATATTATGGGACATTGCACACCCCCCCACCCCCTCCCCCCTTTGAATATTTGGTGCTGGAGACCCCCAGACTGGCAGATCTGGGGCCATCAAGTGACCTCGCAGACCTTCATGCCTGGACATGGGGGACACCAAGGGACCTTGCAGACCCCCCCCCGCCTGGAGATATGGGGTGCTGAAGCCCCCTCCTTGGGGACGTCAAGGAACCTCGTGGGCCCGACCCTCATGCTGGACATTTGGGGACATCAAGGGACCTCACAGACTCCCATTCTGGGGACAGCAGGGACTGCGGATCCCCACCCCATGCCCGGAGGCGTGGGGGGTCCCTGCTGTTCCCCCTTTTCCCCCCCCAGCTGGCCTGGGGGGGGGCCCTCCCCCCTTAAGTTATTGAGTTATTGTCTGGTACTCGAAAGCCACTTTATTTATTGATTAAGTAAATTTATTTATGGTTCCCGGTGCTCCCAAGTGGCTTAATTCGAAGTGGGGTCCCAGCAGGCTTCCAAAAATGGGTCCTGGCATCCAGCTGGGTGACGGGTCGGGGTCCCAAGGGTCATCACCACCCCATGCACAACCCTATACGAGCCACCAGAGACCCCCCCCCCCCTTCAGCACCCACACACCTGGGTGCTGACACCCCCGCACCTATAGGGCCACCCAGGCACCCACATCCCGGGGCTGGTGCCCCCTGTAGTGTAGTGGCACGTGTGTCCCTATGGGGGGTCCCACTGTCCCCCATCCCCTATTGTCCCCCCATTCATCCCCCCCATGTCACCCATGTTCCCCTCTCACCTGCAGCCGCTCCAGTCACCTTCCGCAGCCCCCCAATGTCCCCATAATGTCCCCCTGTTCCCATGTCCCCATGGCGCACGCAGTCACACACTCGTGGTGTGTGCTTGCACCACGCACACGCTTGTGCCGGTGCACAAACACGGGGAGCTGCCCGGCTGCAACATGCATGCACCAGCTGCGTGCTTGCACCATGCCTGCACCCACTCATGCACGCACCCACTCGTGTGTTTGCACCTATGTTTGCAGCCTCAGGGACGCGTTGCGCCCACGCTTGCGTTTGCACCCATCGGTGCATTGCACCCTGCTTGTGCACGCACCCCCGTGCACCCCCCACACGTGTGCATGGTCGTAGCCCGGCCGTGCTTCAGCAGCAGCCGTGGGCGCTGACAAAGCCACCGGAAAGTGCCGCCGGCGTGGGGCCTTGCTGGGAAGGCAGGAAACCACCAGCGTGCGGCTGCAGCAACCTGTGCGCCCCGGCCGGGTGCCGAGGCCGGGCAGGGGGAGGTGAGCAGCGCCGTGCAGCAACGCCACGCAGCGCTGGGAGCTGAGCAGCGAGGAGATGTGCACCCAGGGGGGTGCAGCACCGTGCACCAGGGGCCGTGCACCGAGCACCGTGCAGCACCACGGGCTGAGGATGGAGCAGCACCGTGCCCTAAATGCCCTGAGCTGAACTCCCCAGGGCCTCTCCCAGCCCCCTCTGTGGCCCCTACGACCCCAAGGGCTCCCCCTGTCCCCTACAGGGTCCCCATGAGTGTGCCATCCTCTACGGAGTGCCCCTGTCCTCTATGATGGCCCCATGGCTCTGCCATCCCCTTTGGAGTCCTGTGTCCCCTGTGGTGGCCCCATGACCCTGTCGTGCTCTGAAGAGCCCCCACGTCCCCCGCAGTGTCCCCACGACTCCGTCATCCCCCCTGGAATCATCCCAACCCCACCGTCCCCTGTGATGTCCCCATGACACCCATGAAGTCCCCACAGCCCCGTTGTTCTCTGCGGTGTCCCCATTGTCCCCTACGGCGCTCCCACATCCCCCGTGACACCCCCAGAGCCGGGCTGTGAGAAAGGACATTTATAACTCCCCCCAAAAAAAAGAGAGTAACAGGGGACAGGAGGGTGGGGGCACCCATGGGTGGGGGGCACCCGCTCAGGAGGGGCACCCGAAGATGGTCATGGCCTCGGAGAATTCCACAAAGGCCTGGCAGAGGGACTGCAGCTCGGGGTCCTGGCAGGCCACCTCCGACGGCCACGTCTCCAGCCACGTGTCCTTGCCGATGAGGTAGGAGAAGCTGGGGACAGCAGGGGGACAAGAGGGGTCACGGGGCAGAAGGGGGTTGGCACGCTGGTGAGGGGTGCGATAGGGTGCACAACCCTGTACGAGACACTGGAGAAGCTCAGGGTGCAGCGGGAGGTGCCCAGGGGTCAGTGTCCCCATGTCCCCATGTCCCCATGTCCCTCCCTATCTCCCCATGTCCCCACGCGTGTCCCCGTGTCCCTACCGGGTGCCGGTGACCCACAGGTCGGAGGCCAGCCCCCAGACCAAGTAGTCCTGGCCAGGCTGGAGCTTCAGAGCGTCCCGGCACTGCTGGTGGCTCACGAAGGTCCGGTTGCTTCCACTTGGGTCTTCGTCAGTGCCTGTCCCAGGGAGGGGTGACACACGGGTGACACGTCACCCCCACCCCGAGCCCCCCAGGGACACCCGCTCTGACGTGTCCCCCAGTGGGGACCCCTTCCCCAGGGGGCTGTGGCATCCTTGGTGGCATCACCCAGTTACCAGCTGTGGGTGGCCCCATCCCAGGGACCAGCCATGGGTGTCCCCAGCACCCTTGGGCGTCCCCAGCCCTCGGTGACCCCTCCCGCGTCCCTCAGGGTGGCCTCGTCCCCTGGGCCCCGGGGTGCTCGTACCCATCTTGATGACGGAGAGGATGGTCATGATGTAGTTGTCGTGCGATGCCGTCTGCTCCATTTCCACCAGCTTCACCTTGTACACTGGGGACGGGGACACCTCCACGTCACCCTCCCCCCGGCAGCAGCCCCCTCCGTCCCTTCTTCTCCTCCCCGAGTCCCTCCACGTCCCCTCCTGTCTCCGTGTCACCCCACATCCCCCTTCGCACACCCACAATGTCCCCTACGTTCCCCCCTTGTGCCCCACCACCCCCCGGTTTCACCCCACGTGCCCCCCGTCCCCCCGTCCCCGTGTCCCCCGCGTCTCACCGTAGTCAACCCCGGGCTCGCAGGCACGCTCAATGCGCTGGTTGACCGTGATGGGGCTGTCCTGCTGCTGCCGCACGAAGCAGTTTTCTGCAGGGACACAGGGGACAGGGCGGTGACGCGTCCCTTCATGGCCATGATGTCCCATGGCCACGATGTCTCAATGTGGCCATGACGTGTCCCATCGTGGCCACGACACGTCCCACTGCACCACTGATGTGCCCCCATCACGGTGGGGGTGTGACCCGGGCTCTGCCCCCATGTCCCCGTGTCCCTTTTGTCACCTTCAGCGCAGCGGCACACGTCCCCGTAGCAGATCTTCTTCAGCTGCCCACCGTCCTTGTCCGGGTGGTAGAAGCGGGTGCAGCGGTCGTCTGCGGGGACACGGGGACATGAGGGGACCCAGGGATGACACAAGGGGACACGAGGGGACACGAGGGGACACGGGGACGCACCGATCTTGTAGTAGCTGTAGACGGTGACGGACGCGGGCTGGATCAGGCCCACCTGGAACTGCTGGTGGGCCCTGAAGGCAATGCACTCCTCGGCCTGGTGGGACACCTGGGGGGGCACGGGGACGGGGACAGCAGTCAGCCAGGAGGGGAGGCAGCGCCCCAGCCCCCAGCCTGGCCCTGTCCCCGTCCCCATGCCCACCCATGTCCCTGTCTTGTCACCGTGCAGCCCATCCCTGTTCCTGCCCCCATCTGTGTCCCCAGCTTCATCCCCACCCCTGTCCCTTTCCTGTCCCTGCACATCCCCAAATCCAGCCTGTGCCCTTCCTTGTCCCCGTCCCTCTGCTGTCCCCATCTCCATGCTATCCCATCCTTGTCCCTGTCCCCATCTCCATACGGTCCCATCTCATCCCCATCCCCATGTCCCCCATGTCCCCCATGTCCCCACCTTGTCGAGGTAGATGATGAGGTTGCTGCGGTCCGACAGAACTTGGTTGATCTCAAACTTGGAAATGTACCTCTCCACGCCCTCCGAGAGCTGGGGACAGGGACATGGTGGCAGCAGGCACGCAGGACATGAAAGGACACGAGAGGACACGCAGCCACACCGTGACATGTGGGCACAGAGCGACACGGGGACGCGGTGACACACGGGGACGTGGGAACACAAGGACACGGGGGACACGGGGACACGCACAGGGACAGGAGGACATGATGATGCAAGGCCCCGTGTCCCCCAGGTGTCCCCAGACGTGTCCCCATGTCCCTGCACTCACTCTCTTCAGGTCCTGCATGTCTGGGGAGAAGCCCGTGAGCATGGAGACGTCGATGATGGACATGGTGGCATCCACGTTGTCCAGGTACCTGCGGGGGACCGGGATGAGGCCACCTCCCTGTCCCTCGTTCCTGGTGGCCCTGTTCCCAGCAGCCCCGTTCCCCTCCCTGTCTCCGATGTCCCTGCTGTTCCCAACATCTCGGATGTCCCCATCGCGTCCCACCTGGTGCAGATGGTGATCTTGACAGAGCGGATGATGCCCTCCGGCTCCTTGCCTGTGAGGGGACACAAGGACACTGCTGCCACCCGGGGGGGACACAGGAGGAACCCGGGGGGACAATGAGGGACTGGGGAGAAGGAGGGGGGTGAAGGGACCCAGAGGGACCTGGAGGGGACATGGGGATCTGGAGGGACAGGGGTACGTGGAGAAGGATATAAGGGGGACATGGGAATACGGGTGACATGAGAGACGTGGAAGGGGACATGAGGGGACACGGAGGAGACGTGGGAAGTGGCCAGTGGGAGCAAGAAGAGGACACGTGGGGGACACTTGGGGACTCACCCATCTTCACATCCTCCACGTCCACCTTCAGGTCAAAGTTGTCACACTTGTTCTCCTTCTCGGGGACCTTGGCGTTGTAGACGGTCACCACCGTCATCGTCCCCTTGCCCGTGCCCGAAGCTTTCACCGTGAAGTCCTCGTTCAGCTTGGTCTGCGGGGACAGGGACGTTGGAGAGGGACAGGGACATACTCTGGGAGGGATGTGGAGGGGATGTGGCATCCCGGGCTACGGAGGGACACCGGGACATGGAGGGGACAGGGCGCTGAGGGTGCCGGTACCTCGGCGGAGCGCGCCACCAGGGCGTTGCTGTTCTCGATGCGGTAGGTGATGGCGTTGGCGCGGCGCGGCAGCAGCACCGACACGTCGAGGTTGAGCTTCTGCTGCCGCGGCATCGACACCTGGTACTGGGCCAGGGCCTGGAACACCATGATGGTGGCCTGCGGGAACACCGCCCGTGTCACCACGGCTTGGGGACACCGCCTGGGGCGTCCCCGGAGCCTCCTGGATGGCCCCGAAGCCGAGGTCACCCCAAGTTCTGGAGCTACCTCGTGTCACTTGAAGACTCTCGGGGGGTCCTAAAGACCAGAGGTGGACCCTGAGAGACATCCCTGGAGACCCCCAGGGTCCGGAGGGGTCCCCAGGGGAACCCCATGCCCCTGGGGGTCCCCAGTGACCCCCCAAACCCCCAACAAAGCCATCGACCCCTCTTCTTCCCCCCACGAACCTCCACTCCTGCATGGCCGTGGGGGCCAGAGCAGCACCCAAGGGTGCCAGGGAGGTTTGTAGCCCACCTGGGTGGACCCGTAGCCACCACCGAAGTAGTTCTGCTGGGACAGCCACTGGACCACCGCTCCCGTCAGCTCCATCTTCTCCATCTGCAGCAGGGCCAGCAGGGCGTAGGACGTCCCCTCGATGTTGTAGGTGTGGGAGTTGCGTTCCACCCAGCGGTTTCCCTCTGGGGCGACACCGAGCCCTCAAAACCCACCCTTGGTGGCAATTTGTCATCCCCACCCCACAGCAGCACCCAGCGGGTGACCCATAACTCCCCTCCCCCTTGTCCCCCCCACCCCGTTGGGACATCACCTTTGGATTTCTTCATGAGGAATTTCTCGCTGTCGAGTTTCCCAGACAGGGCCAGGGCGTAGGAGGTCAGGGCCACCGTGTAGGGTCGGGCCAGCGATAGGTACCTCCGGGAAAGGTAGTCGGAGGCTTTGGCGATGCTCCCGTCCAAGCTCTGAGCAGAAAGGGTGGTGGTTTGGATTCTCAGGCGGCTGCTATAAGGGTTGGGCACCTCGCCTCGAAGCGCCGCCCTCCTGTGCGAGGGGTGCCCGCTGCCTCCCCTCGCCCCACGCTGGGCTACTCACTTTGACGTGGTCCTTGCAGATCTGCCGGGCTTCCTGCAGCGCGATGAGGACAAACGCTGTCAGCGACACCTCCGGCTCGGCACCCTCGTAGCCTCCCTGCGTAATGAAACGGGGGAAAAAACCTCAGATCTATGTCCACACAACACTCGTTCCCGTTTCCCGGTGCAGTTTCCCCCCCAGCTCATCCCGAAAGCCCATCCTTGAGCCAAAGGGCTTGGCCATGAGTAGGGTTTGGGTCCCACCATACCACCATCTCCTTATGGATGACAGGAGCATCTTCTTGGAAGATCCCATCTGGCTTCTGCTTCTCCAGGATGAGCCACTTGACGGCCCCGCAAACCACCTCTGGCTCGATGTCCACTATCTTGATGGCCATGGCAAAGACCTTGGCCACGTAGGCTGTCAACCTGGGGGCAGGGGGACCTCGCTGTCACGTCCAGCCCCATCACCTGGACCCCCCAGGGATGAGCAGGAAATGGGACCCTCACCAGGTGCTGGATTGTCGGTTGGTGAAGGCAGCGTAGGAGCTGTCTTCTTTCCGGAAAGCGAGTTGTTGGGTGTAACCTGGTGAGGAGAGGGCAGTTGGCCAAAGCAAGGAACACCCGGGGAGAGCTTCAGACTGCCAGCTCCCCCCCTCCGGTGCACATCCCAGTGCAAACCAGTAGCTCTAGAAATCCCCAAACTGGCAGCGCTCCAGCCATGTCCTCCCCACAGATGCAAGTTGCTTTACCCCCTTGGGTGACGGTGACTTTTTGCACCCCAAAGGAGGGGACCACGGGGATGCTCGTATCCGTTTGGGGATGCTCCTACCCTTTCTGATCAAGGTGATGGACTCAGAGCGGCGGTCGACCCCCAAGCTCTCCCACTGGTTCGTGCTGTCCAGGTAGTGGACGGCGATGACGGTGGGTGTCATCCCGATCATGTTCTGCTCCCCGCAGCCCGACGGAGTCACGATGAGGTGCTTCAGCTTCTCCCCATTGATGGCTTTCTCCACCATGATGGACACGGGGTTGCCTGGGCCAGGGGAAGGGATGGTGTCAGGCCGGGAGCGTCCTGCCCCCTCCCAGCCCACCCCTAGGCGTTCCCTCTCCCCTGCTGTCACCTTGGATGCTGACTTTTGTCTCAGACTCAGTGTTGGGGACGATGTCGGTGATATTTGCTGCCGTCACCTTCACTTCTTGGACACCATCTGCGGGGCAGGGAGGCCAGGATGGAGGTGGGTGACCCCAAATGCTTCATCTCCCCCTTCCCTCAGGTGACCCGGCCCTGCTCCAGACCCATATCAGGGTGTCCTTCCTCCCTCGAGATGCCCCTGCTCCACAGTTGGATGTCCCCTGTCCCCCAGGATGCTCAAGTCCTGCTCTTGGTGGTCCATCCATCATGCCCCAAACACACAGCAGGATTTCCCAGTTGCCCTTGTCCTCCACTCAGTGTCCCCATGAGGATTAGACGTCCCCACGACCGGCCAGGGGCCACTCACTGTGTCCCTTCGTCTTTGGGTCCAGCTCAACTATCTTCACTGTCTTCTCCAGCCTCATCCCTTCAGGCTGCAGAGGTGAGAGGCCAATGCTCAAGGCTGGGCAGGTTTTGAGCTACCCCTTCCCAACCTCCCCAGGTTGGTGAGGAAAGGTGTTCCAGTGCAAACCAGCACGTGAAGGTCATGGGACAAACTGGGAGAGCCCCCAGGAGACCACCCTTGGGCATCCTGAATGGGGAATCCTTCATCCCTGGGTACCAACACCAGGATGAAGTGCTGAGGGGGATGCCATGGGGATATCAAGAGGACCGGGACGAGCTGGGGACCGAGGTGGCACCGCACGGTAGAGGCACCGTGAGCGGCGATGACCCACTCACCACGACTTTGAGCTTCTTCTTGACACCATCGGACACAAAGCTGCCCCAGACAGCCGCCTTCACCTCCACGTCATGCTGCCCCAGCTGCAAGGGCACGATGACGAAGGGCACAGCGCGCGACGACTGGGGTTCCAGATCGAAGATCTGCTGGTAGCGAGCCTTGGAGGTGGAGGCGCTGCACAGGGCCGGGTTGTACATCAGCTCCACGCGCACCTGCGGGCACAGAAAGACGTTGTCTGTGAGGGTCTGGTGGCCACAGATACCCCCTGACCCCCAAAGCCCAGGGGTGGGCCACCCACCGACCTTGATCTTGTTCTTCCAGTAGTTGTAGAGGATGGCGCGGATCTCCACCTGCTCGTTCCGTACCACCGAGTAGGGCAGGCGCAGGTCGATGAAGAACTCCTTCATCACCGTGATCTCATAGGGGTCAGCAACGCACAGCCCTGCACGGCGGTCCCCGGGGAGGTGGGGTTCAAGCTCACGAGCTCACTTGGCCCTTTGTGTCCCAGGGACATCCTCGGGGCTTTGGGACATCTCTCAAACCTCACAGAGTTCCCTCCAGGTGGGAGGGACCCCTCAAGTCCCACGGATCTCCCCACAGTTTGGAACTCTCTCCAGAGTTACACATCCCTCCATGATTTTGGAGACACCCCCGCACCCCTCAAAGCCCAAGTAACCCCTCCAAATTCTGGGGATTCCTCAAGTCCCAGAGACCACCCCCAAGGTTTGGGGAACCCTTTGGGTCCCTCTGAAATCCCCCCACATACCCTTTTTCTTGGAGAGGCTGACGGCCAGGACCTCCCAGGTGGTGATGGAGTCCTTCAGGTATACAGGCAGTGTTTTCGTGGAGATGCTGGAGGGGATGCAAACCACCAAGGGGGGGGTCACAGCTAGCCCCATGATGGGCCAGAGGGGTGTAAAGAGCCACCGAGCTGGACCAGGGGGGTGTAGGTGACCACTGAGCTGGGTCAAGGGGTCATAGTTGGTCCCAAAGCAGCAGGAGGGCGGCATACGGGGCCCTAGTCTACTGAGGGGGTCGCATCTGGTCCCCAGGCTGGGCAAGTGGGGGTTCGGAGGTAAATGGATCGGAGGTGATGGAGTAGAGGTTATGGATCACCAGGTTGGGACGCGGGGTGGTGATGGCCCCAAGCCAGGCAGCAGTGCTGGGGGGAGGTTGTGGGGCTCACCCCAGTTCGTTGGGCGGCTCTTTCAGCTCCTCCACCTGCCACAGCCAGCTCTCTGGGAAGAGGCTCCGAGAGGTGATATCTTCGTCGTCCAGGAAGCCGCCGTCCATCTCGCCTGGGGGTAGCAGCAGCCCCCTCAACCACGGCTGTGGGACCCCAGCCCTGGGTGGGGGTGGCATCACCCCCAGCACCACTCCAGCACCGTCCTTCTATCGCCCAACCCTCGCCCAAGCTTCAGTGAAGCTTCTCCCAGCCTTCACCCCAGCATTTCTCCGGCTTTGCCCAACCAGCACGCCTCGCCACCACCCCACCACTGCCCGGCACTTGCTTCGAGCCAGCTCGAGGTAGGACTCGCGCTGCTTCTGCTCGCGGATGCCCTTGATGTAGGTGCAGCAGCTGAGGAAGGCCTGGGTGCAGGCGTTGCCATCCAGGATGTAGGTGGCCCGTTTCTCGCAGCTGTAGCCCATGAGGTTCTCCTTCATGCCGTCCTCGCAGCACTTCCTCAGGTTCTTGTCGGTGTACTCGGCCGCTGCCAGCACCCAGATGGCACCCTCAGGACCCGGGACCCTCCAGCACCCGCAGCGAGGGCAGGACAGCCTGGTGTCCCCAGGGCCACGGGACGACCTGGTGTCCCCGGGGCCACCTACCCTTCTGGCCTTTGTACTCGATGAGCTGCAGGCTGCGGCGCTTGCGTTTCGCAGGCTTTTCGCATTGGACTTCTGGGGACAGAGGGGACTCGGGTCAGGGTGCCACAGCCCCAAACCCCGGGGGCTACATCCCCCCGGGATGTCACACCAACCTTGGCGTCACCCCAGGCTGTCCCCATTCCCCGCGTGTCCCCTACCAGATCTCTGCGGCGTGTTGATGTTCACGTTGGAGGCTAGGCTGAGGCCCGCGTCCGCGAAGACCCCGATGTGGTTCCTGCCGCTGCCGGCAGTGCAGCCGATGTCGCTCTTCTCCACCGTGTCCCAGACCTGGAGCCGACAAGGGACGGCCGTGACAGCGACTGCTGTCACCCAGGGGTGGTGGGGACAGCGGGGAGGGGAACCCGGGTGCCCACCTTGGTCTGGGTGAACTTGTTCTTCTTGCTGAGGACGAAGACGGCCTTGTCCACCGCCACCAGCCCCACGTGGGCCATGTGGTCACCCTCGATGCGCAGCCTCATGGGTGTCCCAGGCTCGTGCACCCGGCTGTCGGCTTCTGTCGCTCCCTTCACGACCAGCTGTGGGGGGACACAGCAGGGTTGAGGTTGTGGGGCACCCAAAAAACCTTCGACAGCCCCAAGAGCTGCCCCATGGGTGCCCCCACAAGTTGCTGGAGTCCTCCCGAGGTGATCGCTGGCTGTGTCTCATGCCACGCGACATCTGGACCACCAGTGGGCTCCCTGGGCCACCCAGCGACCACCTAAAGCCTTCGTGGGATGCCCACGGGATGTCCAAGGCCCTCATGGGACACCCAGGATTCCCAAGGACTTTTAAGACCCCCTAGAACCGCCGACCCCCTCATTGGCCACCCAATTCCCCCATGGGCTATCCAAATCACCTAATGCCACCCAAAACCATCACGGACCACCCAGCCCTCTCAAGGGCCACCTAAACCCCTTCCAATGGCCAACCAATGCCCCCATGGCCCCCCCTGACCCCTGGGGTGGTGGAGACGCTCACACTGCCCATGCAGGTGTCCTTGACATCAACCCAGACGGAGTCAGCAACGATCTCGTTGGGCGTCACGAAGTAGTAGGCCACAATGCGGAAGGAAGGGATGAGGTTGGCCGTCACCGGCAGCGACATGGTGACCAGGCTTTGGTCACCGTCGCGTGGCTGCCTCCCCGCGTGGACGATGTGCCCCTTGTTCAGGATCTGCGGTGGGTGAGAGAAGGCCGTGTGGGGGGGTGCCCAGGGTGGGGGGGTGCCCAGACACCCAGAGCCCTGGGACGGGGTCGGATGGGTGGCAGAAGCCAGCTGTGCCTACCAGGTAGGTGAAGTAGGAGACGGATTTGCGGACACCATCGTTGTTGCTCTTGAGGTGGAAGTTCACGGGGAGGTTGTCACCGGGCTGCACCTCGCTGGCCCCCACAGCCAGGTGGAGGAAGTTGCCGGAGTTACCTTGGCTCTTGTACGCCTCGGCAGTCATCTTCTGCTTGGCCTGGCGGTCGGGCGGCAGGTCTGCCTGGTCCGTAGTGACCTGCAGCACGGAGGACACGGCAGCGCTTGGTCAACAGGGAACCTGGGCAGGGGTCACCATGGAGGTCTCGACCACCGTGGAAATCTTGGCTGCCACAGACAACTTGGCCATCACGGAGGTCTTGGCCATCCTGGTCCCCTTGACCTCACTGCTCTGGTCCTTGGCTTCCCTGGTCAAATCAACCACCCTGGATGTTTTGGACACCCTGATTCCCTTGATGCTGGCCATCTTGGTTTTCGGTCCCCTTGGGTGGCTTTGCCATGCTGGTCTCTGACCATTCTGGCCCTGGGTCACCCTGGAGGACTTGGTCAACCCAATTGCCCCAGCCATCACAGTCCCCCTGACGCCAGCCATCCTGCTCCTTGTCAACGGTGACCAAGAACACCATTCCCTGGTCCTGGGTCATTCTGGACATTTTGACCACCGTAGCCATCTCTGCCATGCAAGTCCCCTCAACTGTGGCCATCTTGGTCCTTTGTCAACGGTACCTGGAGTAGTTCTGACACGTGGCCCCACTGTGGATGTCGACTCCATCCTGGTCTCCCAACCTTCCTGTCCTGGACCCTGCTCAGTGCTGCCCACGCTGCCCACGGTCCTTTGTCACCCTGGACATCTTGAACCCCCAAGGTCCTTGTCCCTGTCCCCACTCACGGTGATGGTGATGGAGTCCTTGTTGGCTGGCATGTTGAGGACCAGCTTGGCGGTGCCATCGCGCTGGGTAGAGACAAGGCCCTGGAAGCCTTCGGCCTTGACGCGGACACGCGGAGCTGGGGAATTGTCGGGATTGGTGACATAGACCTGCGGAGGATGCGGTATGGGCATGGGACATGTGGCACAGGGACACGACCCAGCAGGGGGACACAGCGTGGCACAGGGACAGACCCCAACCCCCACGTGGCATCCAGGTGGCACAGGGACATGACATAGGGACAGACCCTGGTCCCAGGTCCCCTCACCCACAGACCCCTGGGCTTCCCCTTTCCCCATCCCCATGCAGAAGACGCTGGTGCCACCGGGGTCCCCATCCCTGTCCCCCGGTGCCGTTACCGTCAGGTCGAAGGGCATCCCCGGCTTGAAGTACTTGGGGGTGTGGGTGAAGTGGATGGTGTACGGGGACTTCACGATGTGGATGCCAGTGCGCTGCGCCTCCACCATGTCACTGCCTGCGGTGCCCACGGGGATGGCAATGTCACCTGGGGACGGGCCAGGGCTCCCCGTCCCCCAGGGGACAGCCCTGTCCGACCTCAGATGGCCCTGGTTGTTCCCATCCACACTGTCCTCATCCTCACTGTCCCCAACCCCACGTGCTCCTGTCCCCACGCATCCTTGTCCTTTCTGTCCCCAACGCCCCGTCCCTACTGGCCCCATCCTCCTATGACCCCACACGTCCTCATATGTCCCCAAACCCATCCGTGTCACCGAGGACCGTGACAGACACACACAGGACGTGGCCCAACACGTGCCAGCTGTCCCCACACGTCCCCCCTACGTACCCGACTCGGTGAGGACGGTGACGGTGACGTAGAGCGAGTGTCCCTCCAGCTCATCCATGTTGGCGAATCGCTGCCGCACCATGTCCATGGAGAGCGAGGCCTCCCCGTCCCCCTCCACCACCTGCAGCACGGGGTCAGTGGGACGGGGACCGGGATGGGGACAGGGGGCTCAGCAGGGACAGGGATGGGGACAGGGCACAGGGACGGGGACAGGGCCACCTGGATGCGCTGCAGGGACTGGGGGATGCTCTTCTTCTCCTCGTCCACCATAACGCCGAAGAGGGCGAAGGCCGTCCCCGTCAGGCGCTTCCCGTACAGGTACCTGGGGAAAAGCCACCTCTGTCACCATCGCCCCACGTCCCCGTCACCGTCTGTCCTCCTCACGGCCACCCAATGTCACCACGCCGTTTTGGGGTGTCCCCACCCCCACACACACACTTGGCTGTGATGGACACGCGGAAATTCTCCTTCCTGTCGATGTAGAGGAACTTCTCCTCGGGCTCCAGGGTCACCTCAAAGCTCGGCAGCACTGCGGAAGGGACACCCGATGTCCACCGGGGCACGAGGGACCGAGGGGACTGGTGTGGGGACACCCAACGGACCCCCCAAATCTGGAGCCCCCCTTACCCCACCGTACCGTACTCCTTGACTTCGAATTGGGTGCTGAAGACCTGTTCCTGTGAGTCCTCGAATTTGGCTATGATGGTCCATGTCCCCAGGCTGGAAGAGGGGGGGGACAGGGTGAGGGGACAAGGACAGGGCCGGGGGTGTGCCTGGGCCATTTTGGGAGGGGGGGCACCCACCTGACCACCTCGGGCAGGTTGTGGTTGAGGGAGAAGATCCCGTTCTTCTTGGGGGAGGACACGGGCACTTGCTTGATGATGATGTTGTCGGGCGTCTGTGGGGACGTGGGGTTGGGGATGGTGAGATGGGTGGCCGTGTCCCCCTGTCACCACGTCCCCGTGTCACCAGCAGCCACCCACCTTGATCTCCACGATCACCGTCTTGAGCACCGGCTCCATGAAGTGGCTCAGGGCGAAGAAACGGCAGAGCACTGGGGAGGGGACACGGGGGACAGGGTGAGGGGGACATCGTGGGGACATCCACACACGAGTGTTGGACCCCAGAACGGGTGCTGGTGCCCTCTGGAGATGTCCCCGCGTGGATGCAGCGAGGACATCACGGGGAGGTCCCCACATGGGTCCTGGACCCCAAGAGGGGCCATAAAGAGAACGGCCCCAAATGGGTGCTGGAGCCCAGCACCCCGAGGTCCCACCAGCACCCCAAGGTGCCGTGGTGGGGACCCAGCCCCCTAAAGACCCCCCGACGGGACCCAGCGCCCCGGGACGGACCGGTGGAGCCGGGGGTGTAAATGGGCTTGTCGGTCTGCAGGAAGATGTGGCCGCTCTGCAGGGACACCAGCAGCACCTTCTCCACCGTCACCGCGCCCACGCGCGCCGTCACCGCCACGTACTGCTTCCCCACCACCGATGGCAGCAGCTTGGCAGGCACCTGGGGGACAGGGGACACCGGGTGGCACCCAGGGGACAGGGACGCACCCTCGAGCACCCTGAGGTGACCGTCCCCAAGGACCCTGGGACAGCTGTCCCCAGGGACCCCAGGGTGACAGCCCCTTTGTGGTCCCTTTGGTAGCCATCCTCCCCGAGGCCCCACCAGCCCCGTGGAGATTCTCCGCCGTCTCGTATAGGGTTGAGCCCTCCCCGGGGTTGAGCAAGGAGGGGTCGTGACCGGCAGGGAGGTGACACGCGGGGAGGTGGCAGACCTTGATGGTGGCAGTGGTCATCATGCCGTGGGTGGCGTTCAGCTGCCTGCGGACCTGGTGGAGGACCTGGCGCTTCTGGGGAAAGTCCTGCACCAGGATGGTGGCCTCGGTGGGCACCGACAGCCCCGGCGCCTCCAGCACCACCTGCTCCTCCGTCTCCAGCCGCAGCAGCGCCGGCGTCACCATCGTCACCCTTGGGGACATCCATCATGAGGGGGGGGCTGCACCACAGCCCCAGCTTCTCCCAGTCTGCCCCACTGCAGAACCCCCGCTCTGTCCCCAAAACCACCCTGGGGACCCCACCGCACCCAGGTCCCTGGGGAGATCCCGACCAGTGCCCCCTCAGCACCTTGGGGACCCTCTGATCCGCCCCATGGGCCTGGGGCACCCCCAAATCCCCCATTCACCCCAATCCCCAAATGCCCCAATCCCCATTGCCCTCCAGCATCCACTCCCAGGGGAGTCCCAGAAAGGTGGGGGGGGAGTCCACATGGGGTGGGGGTCCTGAACAGGGGGGGGTTCACTACTTGAGGTGGGGGTCGTGGGTCTGGAGATCCTGTACGTGGGGGTCTCATTTGGGATAGGGGGGTCCTGGCCACGGGGGAGTGTTGATCTGGGGGGTGGGGGCTCTCTGCCATGGGGGTCCCATCTGGGGTGGGGGGGGTCTGGGTCAGGGTAACTGACAGATATTGGGGTCCCTGGGGAGGGGTCGTCTTGCAGGATCCCAGGGTGGGGGCCCTATGGGTGGACGTGTCCCATGGGTGGTGGGGTCCCCAGAAAAGGGGTTCCTAATGGGGGGGGGTGTCCCATGGGTGGGGAGGGGGCGACTCACATCTGTGCGGGGGCGGGGGCCGCATGCAGCAGCAGGAGGATGAGGGGCAGCACCCGAGGCCCCATGGCTGCGGGGGGGTCAGCGACGGGGCCGGGGGGGGGGTCCCTTTATGTCCGCGCCACTGGTTAATGGGTAACCCACACCCACATGCCCGGGGCCACCCACGTCACCACCCTGGGGCCACCCATGCCAGCACCCCGTGGACATGGGGGGGGTCACCCCATGCACAGCAGGGTGGGGGGGGGGGTCCACCTGGGTGGGGGGCTGGAGCTGGGGGGGGGGAGGCTGAGATGTGGGGGTCACCCCCGTGGGGGGCATAAGAGTGGGGAAGGACAGCTGGTCACCCATGTGTGTGCCCCCCCCCCCCCCCCAGAAAAAAAAGGAGGGGCTGCCGGGAGGCCCAGGTCCTTCCTCATTTCGGGGAAGGCGGCTGGCGGGGGGCCACGGCCCTTGCGACACCACCAAGGGGAGGGACAGTGAGGGGGGGAAACGGGGGGGATATGGGGCACGACGGGGAGTGGGGGGTCCTGGGTCACCATCCCGGGACACCTGGGGGGCTGGGGGTCTTGGGTCACCATCCCCAGACACCTGGGGGTCCTGGGTCACTGTCTCTTGGGCACCTGGGGGTCTTGGGGGCCTGGGTCACCATCCCCAGCCACTTGGGGCCCTGGGGGTCCGAGGTCACCATCCCCTGGGCACCTGAGTCCCTGAGGGGCCTGGGTCACCATCCCAGGACACCTGGGGGTCTGGGGGTCCTGGGTCACCGTCCCCAGACACCTGGGGGTCCTGGGTCACTGTCCCTGGGCACCTGGGGGTCTTGGGTCACCATCCCCTGGGCGCCTGAGTCCCTGGGGGGCCTGGGTCACCATTCACCCCCGTGGGGGTCCCCATGGACCAGGACCAGGACCAGGCCACCGCCCCGTCCATCTGGGCTCCCCCCGGGTCCCTCAACTTCCAGCCGTGCCGGTGGGGCCCCACAGGGACCCAAGGGTGCCAGTTCCTCCCCAGCCCAACATCCGGGCGCCCGCTCCCGTCACCCCCCGCGGCCCCAGCGGGGCGCAGGCGCAGCACCCCGCTCCGACACCTTCCGGCCCCCCGCCATCCCAAGGCCTCGGTCGGGCCCCGCCACCCCTCTTCCGCCCCGGGTGGGGGGTCCCCGAGACCACCGGACCCCCACCCATCACCACCACCACCCCGAGACGTGGGAGCGGAGGGGGAAGGAAGGCGTCCCCCCCCCCCGGACGTGGTGGCGGCGGTAGGAAGACGAAGGACGCCTCCTGCTCCTCCCCACGGCCGCGCCGCGGGGCCCCGGCGCCATCATCTCCTCCCCAGGCGTGGGCGTTCTGGGGGGGCAAGGACCCCCCAAGCGCCGTGGGCTCCTCTCCAGAATCGGTCCCACCAGGATCCCGTCGCCACCGGCTGCTCTCTGCAAGGGGTCGCGCCCCAGAACCTCGTCTTTGCTGCTGCTCCTGCCCAAAAGGGGTCCCACCAGGACCTCACCTTCACCGCCTCCTCCCCAGGACTGGTCCCAGCAGGACCCCGTCTCCACCAGCTCCTCCCTAGAAGCGATCACACCTGGACCTCGACCGTAGCAGCTCCTCCCCAGACGTGACCCCACCTGGATCTACCTCCAACCCAGACGTGACCCCACCAGGACCCACCTCTAAACCAGCCGTGACCCCTCCAGGACCCACCTCCAACCCAGCCGTGACCCCACCAGGACCCACCTCTAAACCAGCTGTGACCCCACCAGGACCCACCTCCAACCCAGCCGTGACCCCACCAGGACCCACCTCTAACCCAGACGTGACCCCACCTGGATCTACCTCCAACCCAGCCGTGACCCCACCAGGACCCACCTCCACCCCAGACGTGACCCCACCTGGATCTACCTCCAACCCAGCCGTGACCCCACCAGGACCCACCTCCAACCCAGACGTGACCCCACCAGGACCCACCTTCACCCCAGACGTGACCCCTCCTGGACCCACCTCCATCACCTCCACCCCAGCTGTGACCCCACCACCCCCCCCTCCCCGCTGTGCCCCCCCAGGGCCATGGAGGCGTGGCGGCAGTGCGCCCGCTGGCTGGTGGCGGCGCGGGTGCTCCCCGCGGGTCACCGGGCCAGCAGCCCCGGGGGGCAGGTGTGGGACCTGGCGCAGGCCCTGCGGGATGGGGTCCTGCTCTGCCACCTCCTCAACGCCCTCCTGCCCCGCGCCGTGCCCCCCCGGGACATCTGCCCCCGCCCTCAGATGTCACAGGTGGGACCTGGGGCGAGAAACCACCGGGAGCTGGGAGCAGGGACAGAATTGCCCCAGGGAGGGGGTTTTGGGGTGCTGGGGCCAATGGGGGTGATGGGGACAGTGACAATGACAGGGGTGGTGTGAGGGGGAGTGATGGTGGTGGGGGGCGTGATGGGGACAGTGGGGGTGATGGTGACAATAGGGTGATGGTGACAGCAGAGTTGATGGGGACAATGGGGGTGACGTTGATGGTGACAGCGACCATCGGGGTGACAATGACCATGGCACAATGACCAGGTTGATGGTCACGGCCATGGGGCCAATGGGGGGTGACCGCGACGACGCTGGTGACGATGGCGTGGCAGTGACAAAACACTGCCGAAAAAGTTCTGGGGGGGGTGGCAGTGGCCGTGGGGGTGGAGGTGACAATGGGGGTGACAATGGGGGTGACGGTGACGTGTGGCCCCGCAGTTCCTGTGCCTGAGGAACATCCGAACCTTCCTGACCGCCTGCGCCGACAAGTTTGGGCTCCCCAAGCATCGCCTCTTCGGCGCCTTCGACCTCTTCGATGTCCAGGACTTCGGCAAGGTGGGGGCGTTGGGGACGCATCTGGGGACCCCCAGGTGCCCGGCCACCCCCCTAGCCCCCCCTCCACAATGACCCGGCCACCACCCCCCCCGGTGACCCGTCCTTGTCCCCAGGTGATCGACACACTCTCCACGCTGTCCTGGACCCCCATCGCCCAGAGCAAAGGCTTCACGTGAGTGCAGGAGACCCCCCCCAGGACCCCCAACCCCGGGGGGGGGGTAGAGATGGTCCCCATGGGACACATGTCGTGTCGTCCCCCCCCCCCAGACCCTTCCCCACTGAGGACTGCGTTGGGGACGATGACATCTACAGCGGCCTCTCGGACCTCATTGAGTGAGTGGGGCAGGTTGGGGGGGACTGGGGGGGCTTTGGGGGTCACTGGGGGGGTGTCGGGGGGCATTAGGGGGTATTAAGGGAAGGTGGGGAATGTTAAGGGGTCTTAGGGGCTTTTAGGGGCGCCAGGGGGGTATTAAGGGGTTCTGGGAGGTCCTGGGGGCTTTGGGGTGTATTCGAGGTGGGTTTGGGGGGGGAGTTTGGGATGTCCTTGGGGCTCAGGGCTCTGGTGTCCTTCAGGAATTATTGGGGCAATTTAGGGGTTGTTTGGGGGCCTCCAGAGTACCCCGGGGGTTCTTGATGGAGAGATTCCTAGGGAACCTTGGGGGGGTACACTGGGGGCTCCGGGGTTACTTGGATAGGGACTGGGGGCACTCTCAGTGCACACCCAGAGGTATTTTAGGGTGGTTTCTAGGGTTATTCGGGTGGAGTGGGGGGGTCCTGGGGGGGGGTTTTGGGGTGCGGGGGGTAGCGGGCTGTCCCCACGCAGTGACACGGCGGAGGAGGACGACGACCTCTACGACTGCGTGGAGGCCGAGAGGGACGACGGCGACGAGATCTACGAGGACCTGATGCGGGTGGAGCCCCCCCCGGCCACCGTGAGCATCCCCCCCCCCACCACCCATGGGACCCCCTCCCCCAGTTACTGGGTGTCATCGTGTCCCGCTGCCCCCTGCAGAAGGTGGAGGTGGACCGGAGGCTCTGCTGCCTCCAGGAGCTGCGGCAGACGGAGGAGAGGTACACGGAGACCCTGGAGTCCATCTGCCAGGTGGGGGGGACACGGGGGGCACGGGGGGCGTGGGGGGCTCGGGGGGGGGTGGGGGACATGGGGGGGTGTGGGGGGACACGGGGGGACACGGGGCAGTATGGGACAATTTGGGGGGATGGAGGATGTGGGGACGCGGGAGCAAATATGGGGACGTAAGAGGGTGGGGGGGACATGGGGACATTTGGAGGGGACACGGGGGAATATGGGGATGGGGCGGAAAATGGGGGGGGGGGGACATTTGGGGGGACATTTGGGGGGGACACGGGGGAACAGGGGGGTACAGACTAGGGGGGGCATGGATGGGGGCGGTTACGCAGGGGATGGGACACGGGGACGGGGACAAGGGGGCGCTAGGACAGGTTTCCCCAGCGCCCCCAGTCCCCCCCTCCCAGTGCTCCCAGTAAGCCCAGTGCCCACAGCACTTCCTGCGGCCCCTGAGGCACTTCCTGCAGCCCCAAGACCTGGAGAGCATCTTCATCAACATCGAGGTGCTCCCAGTAACCCTTCCCAGTCCTCCCAGTAACCCTTCCCAGTCCTCCCAGTCACCCTCCAGTGCTTCCAATAACTGCATTAACCCCCAGTTACCACTCCCAGTACTCCCTGTTATCCCTCCCCGTGCTCCCAGTAACTCCCCCTCCCCCCAGTAACCCCAGTAGGGGGGTCCCAAAGGGGGTCCCCATTTTGGCACTGACCCCCCCCCATCTGCACAGGAGCTGCTGCAGCTGCACCGGCTCTTCCTGGGGGAGCTGCGGGGGGCAGTGGGGGGGCCCGGGGGGGGCCGCGGGCTGCCCCCCCTCTTCCTCGCCTACAAGGAGAGGTGAGGGGCTGGAGGGGGGGGTCCTGGGGGGTTTGGGGTGTCTGAGAGGGGCCTGGGGGGTAATGGGGGGGGGGTCTGAGGGCATTAGGAGGGTCCTGGGGGGGTCCTGGGGGGCATTTGGGGGGTCCTGGGAGGGTCCTGGGGGATCCTGGAGGGCATCTGGGGGTCCTAGAGGACAATGGGGGGGTCCTAGGGGACAAAGGGGGGGGTCCTTGGGGAACAGGGAGCCCACCTTGGGTCCCATCCCATCCACTTTGTGTCCATTCCTGCCTGTTTTGGGTCTGATTTCAGGTCCAGCGTCAGGCCCATTTTAGGTCTAATTCCACCCATTTAGGGTCCAGTTTCAGGTCCATTTTGGGTCCAGTTCTGCCCATTTGGGGTCTGATTTTTGAGCCCAATTTCATCTCC